AGCTTGATGCTTGGTTTTCTATAAAAGGGAACCTCCTCCCTTTTGTCTCAGGTTCAGAATTTTGGCATTGAGCTATAGATACACACCTATCTCTATATTTGCTCATTCTCTCTTGTTTTGTGCTTAAAAGTCCTTTTTCTTCTTACTTTTGCACACAAACACATAGTGAAACACCACACTCTTGGAGTTGAGGCACTTAGAAGCTGCTTTTGGTGTTTTTGGATTGGTTTGAGCTTAGAAAAGTTGCTAAAGTTGCAGCTTTGAAGTTGTTCTTCAAAGGTGAGTTTCTAACCCCTTAAACCCTGGTTTTTATTTAAGCTTTTGGCCTTATTTTCATGCTGATTTAGGCCTAAATTTTAACTACAAAAAATTCTTATTTCAAGTGTTCTAAATGTTTGTTTAAGGCCTTGTTGGTGTTGGGGGTGATCTACCCCCTCTTGTGCCTTGTTTGGCCTTGTTTTTGTGCTATTCTTTTAAGCTATTGGGACCACCTCTTTTTGGTCTTCTCACCACTGAAACTCATAGGAATTTCAGCGATGGAAAATGTGTTTTGAGGTCCCAAATAGGAGGGGGTCATTCCTTCTCCTTGTATCTTGCAAACTAGCCTTGTATGCCTCATGTTTGAGCATGTATTTCTAGCATGTTTTGGCCATATCTCAGCATGTTTTGGTGTAGTTTTTCCATGCCTTAGCTTTGTTTTGATTTGGTTTAATAGCCCCTTGCATGCTTTCTACACTTGTAGTGCATTTCCATTCACTAGCCTAACATGCATAATGCTTTTGACCATCATTCTAGCATGATTTTGGCTCAACTCCAGCAAGCTTTTGTTCATGATTTACCATGATTAAGCTCTAATTTATGTTATTTTGGTCATGCATGCCTTGCTTTGTATAGCCATAGTGCATTCTAACTCATTAGCTTTGAGTTTCCAAGTCACCAGCATGCATTGCTTGGGCTATTTGCATGACTTAGCATCATTTGATATGTGATTTCAGTATGTGTAATGTGGCCATACCCTCTCATGTGTCACTCTTTCAATGCTTTGGAGAAGTCATGCTTTATGCCCTAAATATGAGCCAATATGCATGCCATCTTGCCTAGGCTTTTGGGTCACCATTTCAGTGTATATTTGGTCCTATTTTTCCATGATATAACTCTGTTTTTGGTTGGTTAGAGCATCCCTCACTTACTTCTTACACTTGTAGTGTAAGTCCTCTTTGCTAGTCTTGCATGCCTAATGTGTGAGCTTGTTATTCTAGCATGTGTTGACTTGGTATTAGCCCATTTTTTGTGTTATTTTGACATGCCATAACTCTTATTTTTGTTGGCGAAGCCATCTCATGCTTGGTCTTGGTAGGTGTAGTGTAACCTTCCTCATTGGCCTTGTATACTCCATGCTTCATGCCCTTCATGCTAGCATGTTTTAGCTCTAGTCCATGCATGTTTTAGCATCGTTTTGACATGCTCTAGGACTGTTTTGGGTTGTCTTGGCCATATGCTTCATGTATTGCATAGCTATAGTGCAAGTGCCTATGCTAGTTTCAAGCTTTAAGCCCTCTTGCATGCTATACTTGTGTTGTTTGAATGATTTGGCATCATTTCACACTTGATTTCAGAGCATTTAGTGTTGTCACACTTTCATCTTTGTCACTCCTTGATCATGTTGGAGAGTTGTGCTCTTATGCCTAGTTGATGAGCTATCACATGAGCATGTATTCTTGGCTCTTTTGTGCTTGAGTTTTGGTGTGTTGGCCACTATTTTGGGCATGACTGAAGTCTGTCCATATTCGGTTTAAGTCCATATAATATGTTGTTTGCATGTTGTTGCATTGCATTGTGTTTGCATGTTGTTTGCATATTGTTACATTGTATTATTGTTTGTATGCTTATGTTGCATTGCATTGTGTTTGCATGTCATTTGCATTGCTTGGTTGATCATGTTGCATTGTATTGTGCTTGGATAGGATATTAGTCCAAACACGAGAAACGATGGACGTTTCATACTTGAAGTGATGAAACGTACCTCATTTCTCGGTCGTGCGACCCTCATGATCATGCATAATAGAGGTTAAGGCTCTTATGTGTTATTTGTGCATTCATTTACATTGAATTGTGCAATCTTGGCTTCTCGGCCATCGTGCATTGCGATGCTCTGTTCGTGGCCCGAGAGTCGAGTACCGCGCTCCCTTAAGCTCAAGAAATAATAGGGAGGGTGATGTATTGCATAGCTATAGTGCAAGTGCCTATGCTAGTTTCAAGCTTTAAGCCCTCTTGCATGCTATACTTGTGTTGTTTGAATGATTTGACATCATTTCACACTTGATTTCAGAGCATTTAGTGTGGTCACACTTTCATCTTTGTCACTTCTTGATCATGTTGGAGAGTTGTGCTCTTATGCCTAGTTGATGAGCTATCACATGAGCATGTATTCTTGGCTCTTTTGTGCTTGAGTTTTGGTGTGTTGGCCACTATTTTGGGCATGACTGAAGTCTGTCCATATTCGGTTTAAGTCCATATAATATGTTGTTTGCATGTTGTTGCATTGCATTGTGTTTGCATGTTGTTTGCATATTGTTACATTGTATTATTGTTTGTATGCTTATGTTGCATTGCATTGTGTTTGCATGTCATTAGCATTGCTCGGTTGATCATGTTGCATTGTATTGTGTTTGGATAGGATATTAGTCCAAACACGAGAAACGAGGGACATTTCATACTTGAAGTGATGAAACGTACCTCATTTCTCGGTCGTGCGACCCTCATGATCATGCATAATAGAGGTTAAGGCTCTTTATGTATTATTTGTGCATTCATTTACATTGAATTGTGCAATCTTGGCTTCTCGGCCATCGTGCATTGCGATGCTCTGTTCGTGGCCCGAGAGTCGAGTACCGCGCTCCCTTAAGCTCAAGAAATAATAGGGAGGGTGGTTGTGCATACATACCTTGCAAATACAGTACTGTGCCATTTCTTGTTCTCTGTTGCAGCAAAATGGAGTTGTGCAGAATTTTCTGGTCGACAGACCATAAAAAGTAGCTGGCCGACCACTTTATCTGGTCTGCAGCAAATGTAAGTGGTCCACAGGTGGTCTACACTACCAAAAAGTGGTCGGCAGCCTTCTTGGAGGTCTCCATGATGGAGTAAAAGCTATATGGAGCTTTGTGCAATGTTCTGAGATTAAATGCAAACAGAGGCAAGTTGGGGCATAGCGATGGATTTCCGAACGAGGCGACCGAGCATGCATGCACTTCTCGCCCTGAGGCTCCTTTTAACTGCTTTACTTAGCTGTTTTGCTTAGTTAGCCATTTGCTTATGTACTTAAGTAGTTAATGCACTTAGCTATTTATTTGTGTTGTAATAACTAATTAGTTAATTAGGATTAGTTAATTAGCTTTGTTTTGTAATAATTAGTTTAATAAGCTTAGATTAGCTAGTTAGCTTATTATTCGGACCCTCCGTCGAGAGGGCAAATTTTGTAATAAGTGTGCGTGTATGTGTGAATGTCTTCCAACCCCACGTCTTTCTCCCCTTTACTTAATTAGCTTTTGATGGTTAGTTTTAGGGCATGTTTCAATTAGCATCTTTATGCTTCGCATGCGTGCATTCATTCATCTGTTTTGCATGCACCAGGCTCGGCGCATCATACAAACTGCATTGTATTTCAATACCAATTTGAATGCATGTTATCAAGTTGCATTCACATGACATCTTAGAATAACCGAGCCTATCTTAGTTGCATTTTGCATGTGTTGCATTAGGCATTCTTGACATAGCTAGAATCATGCATTGATTACTAACTAGCTTCTTTTTTGGCTCGGAGTGCACTGTGAGTGTTTATGCTTTAGCATCCTTGCATGCGTGTAAGTGTTACCATGTTAGCGTGCTTGCTATGAGGCTATTTGCTTAAATGATATAACTGCATGAATGCCTGTGGGTGAAGGCTTGATTGCCTAAATTGGAACAATTCATTGAAATGTGCGTTTTAAGCCCACTTGAAGTGGCAAAATCATGTTTTTCTAAGCCCACTTGAGGGTGGCAAATTTGCGACTTAGCCTACTTGCAAATAGCACCTTCAAACCACTTTCAAAAATAATCATGAGTTGTTTTGTTTCAATCTGTGATTGAGTCTATACTTGTATGTTGTGTGCTTCACATAGTAAGCTAACTAATAAACCGGAATAAGATCGCATGTGTTTTTCAAAAATAACATATCATGTTAGTAAAGGCCGATCCTTTGATCGGGCGAGCGGGGGTGTTCATTTCATGATTTCATAAATTTCTCAAAATAAAAATTTAGGTAGCGACTCTGAAATCTAGCAAAGTAGTCAATGTTTGGCGCTTTTTGATTAAAATCGATTTTCCAAAATGATTTGCCGGATTTAGACTCTTTAGTGATTTATCAGTCTCACATTGCACTTTGTGAGATTAGATTCAGAACCGTGACATGAGTCCAAACTGTAGTAGCTAAGAATTACGATTCGCGCCCTTGCGCGCGGAGCGAAGTTCCGAGCGATTTACGGGCAGACAATGTATATAATAGTGTATATAATTGTAGTGTCAGAATATTACCAATAATGTTAGGTTTTTATTTATTGTTGCCAAGACTTCTTTGATCTTGTATTTATTTTTTGTAGAACTTTTGTCCAAGTCTATGTCTAGGCTCATAGTCTTTGGTAGAAAGATGTAAAATTTTGGACGTATTAATGTGTTAATTTTTTACAATATAATAATATTAGTAGGTTAGAATGGCTTTATGATTTTGTTTATATATGTAAAATGTATTCTATAAATTAATTTTCAAGTCTACATAATAAACAATATAAATTCTTACTATCCTGGTGTGACATTCACTTTTAACTCCATAACTCCATAATAAAATAATAAAAAACTCCTCCCCTCCTCCTCCTCTTTTAATTTTTTATTTTTTGTCCGCATAAACAAACCGTATGCTCCAAAAAAAAATTGTGGAAAAGGCGCTAGTTGTGCCTCGTACCCCAAATACGGAGGGAGAGATGCAAATAAAACACTCCCGAAGATCTGGAAAAGGCGCGAGTTGTGCCTCGTACCCCAAATACAGGACAGGCACCCCAACCAATACCGTACCGATATATAGAAAGAAAGAAAACGCAGATACAGAAAAATGGCGAAGCAGTAGAACAGCGACGCCACAAGACGTCTCTCAACTCCGAACCATTCCAAAGACGATCATCATCAACAACAATAGCACCACCGATCCTCCTTCCAAACCCTAATTACGCAATTCTCTCTCTCTCTCTAGATCTCGCCTTTCATCGCCGGAGCTTAAGTTGAGCTCCGAGTCTCGATTCCTCCGAAACCCTAACATGTGAAACCATAATCTCTCTCTCTCTCTCTCTCTACATTTGTATGCATTGTTTTTCTCTCTAGACTTGTGATGTGGTGGCGTTTATCAAGCAATGTGAGACTTGATTGTTGAGGACTATAAATCCTTGGTTTTTGTTGAATTGGGCATTGGATGGGAATGGAGCCTTTGATCGAGCTCTGTGACTTGATTGCACAGAAACCTGACCAATTCGCCGATAAACTCACCTGGATGTGCGGCAGATGCATCCAGCCTGAGTCTCTCCTCGCCGGATCTCCTAGGGTTTCTCGTGCTCAGCTCAATGCCTTGGTTGCCCTCGCTCGATTTCTCTCCAAATGCCCTAATCACACCGATCAGCGTCCCGAATACGTCGTTTCGGAGTTTCTCCGCTCGATTCCTGCTTCCTTCAATCAATCTTTCTGGCCTCAGTCGTTCGGGACCGATTCAATTGCTTCGTTTTACGCCGATTTCTTGGCTTACGTCTCGAAAGCCACTGAATTGTCGTCGGATTTCGCCGCCGATGTTGCGGAGTTCATGGGAGATATTGTGATGTCAGCCGTTGGCAATGAGACTGGAGATTTGAGGATTTCTAGGGCATTCTTGAGAGCTCTGTCTCAGAGTTTCCTGCCAATTCTAATTTCCGATGCTGATAAATTGGTTGCATATCTTCTTGATCACTTCGTGAGTGACGTCCCGAATTCATTTCAGAGTTCACCTATTTTTGCAAGTCCACAAAATCATGTATCTGGGTCGTCTAGCAGTTCAGCATCCAGAGAATCAGCGATGAATGGGTATAGCGTTGCGTGGAAGAGTAGTGTGGATCAGTTGGTAACAAGTATTGGGAATGTTGGGTTCAATGATGGAGGAGGCAATGCCGCGGGCTATAAGCAACTGGTTGTCACTTTTGAGGGGGAGCCTGTGGAGAGGCTCGAGAAACAAGAAATTGCGTTTAAATTGATTGCACACATCTTAGATAAAGTATTCATCGATACCAAACTGTTGGACCAGGTGATGATAATCGCGAAGGAGCAGCTCCAGTCAATGTCTGCTTTTCTAAAGGTAAAATTTTGCAGGCGTACAATCTTTGATTTTTATTGTAGTGTTTAGAAATTGAGAAAGAGAATTAGCTTCATGAAGAAAAATGGGAAATGGAAAATGAAAGAGCTCATTCAATTGTTTGGTTTTGTGGGCAGATAAGGAAGAATGATTGGAATGAACAAGGAACAGTACTTAAAGCTAGAATCAATACAAAATTATCTGTTTTCCAAGCTGCAGCTAGGTTAAAAATTAAAAGTCTTGCATCCCTTAATTGTGACGGAAAGTCATCAAAGAAGTTGCTTCTCAGTACTCTTGCACTGTTGGTAGACAATGCAGAAGCTTGTTTATTTTCAGTGTGGCGAAAATTGAGAATATGTGAAGAGCTCTTCAGTTCTTTGCTTTCCGGAATTACCCAAATTTCTGTCACTCGTGGGGGTCAGCTGCTACGTGTTTTGCTAATTCGACTTAAACCTCTTGTGCTAGCCACATGTGCGCAGGTACATATCTTGGATTGATTCAGAGCTAGCTCGTCTATCTAATGGACAGTGCAGCTAATGCTGTAAACTTTTTATGCACATCATTTCTTTTTCTAAACAGGCTGACACTTGGGGCAACAGCCAGGGAGCCATGTTTGAGAGTGTACTGAAAACAAGCTGCGAGATAATTGAATTTGGTTGGAGCAAGGACCGGTCTCCTGTGGACAGTTTTATCGTGGGATTAGCTACGAGTATTCGCGAACGAAATGATTATGAGGAAGAGGTTAGCCTTATAATGCTGGTTATTGAATGGCAAACACATAAATATACACCCATACACCCATACACAATTATATGTATAATCACATGCATATGCCATGTTTGTGAGTTTCTGAATGCACATGGATGCTTATGCAATTGCCTATGAATGCTGTCTGTGTTTTATTTCTTCTACTTTTTATTTTTTTGGTTTAGGTGGTTATTGTTGTTGTTGTTATTATTATTCTTATTCTTATTATTATTATTATTATTATTATTATTATTATTGTTATTATGTTTTAATGTGCAATTATATGATCAGTTGTTTACTATTGAAATTGCTTGTAACTGATGATCCTCGAAGTATTGGAGGAAGTTGGGTGTTAATCACATACTCTTTTGTTGTTCCTCTTTGTAGGGGTTATTTTTTCAATACTTTGTGGTTAGGCTTGTTAGGTACAATTTATTCTGCACATGATGACTTGTTTGACAATATGGTGGAATGTTGAGATGAGAGGAATATAAAATGCTTACCTAGGAGGGGAAATTGTTGCCCCACTTCCTCTTCCATGTGCCGTTTGGTACAAGCACAGTGGAAAGGTTGAACTAGGAAGGAATGAAAGAGTGGTTATTTGTTTACCATTAGACGCGTACAGGTTAATATGAGGGTGCTGTTTGAAGGCAAAAATGTAAAAGAATGTTCCTCCTTTTGGGCGTTTTGGTTCGCATTTGCATAGAAAGGAAATGGGGGACCTGTACAAAAACTCCCCTTCTTTCTTTTCCCAGTTCTGTTATAACAAAGGGTGGAAATTCTCTCCACCCCTTTCCTTTTCGTTTCTTCCTCTTCTTCTGAATATGTGGCATACCATATGCATGGGTGGGGAATGTTTTTGATTAAGGTCTGGCATACTTCAGTTTCTTTATGTCTTTCAAGTTTATGGAAGTGAAGTGGTGCATCAGTGTTTCAAAGCTCAAGTTCCTTAATAGGGTACTTATTATTTGCTCCTTTAACTAATTTAGATCTGCATAGTTGTAGTGAATATTCTATTCCTTCGTGATACATACACATTTTTGTCAAATATTACCCAATGTTTTACATCTTATAGGTTCTAACTATAGCTTAAGGATCAGAGTCTTTCAATTAGCTTTAGAGAATTTATTGTGTTCCTTGTTATGTTATTTTGGAAAGCCCATAGTTGTACCCTTTTAGTTTGTGTAAATAATGGGGTGCTTATATTGTTGTTTTCTTATTGTTAAGAATGGGAAAGAGAAGCAACCAGCTCCTGTTGTGCAGCTTAATGTTATACGCTTGCTAGCTGATCTGAATGTTTGTGTTAAGAAGCCTGAAGTGGTAGACATGATATTGCCACTATTCATTGAAACATTAGAAGAGGGGGATGCTTCAACTCCTGGCCAGTTACGTCTACGAGTAAGAAATTGTCCCTTCGGAGCTATGTTAACTTAATCTTATAATTCACTATTTGATTCATGATTCATGCATAGATTGATGGGAATTTATGGATGAATCTATTTTGGGAGAGAATGGATGGTGAATTGCGTGATTCATGATGCAATTCACACTATATGATTTATACGATTTTTTGAAACTATCGAATCCAACATAGCTTGACCCCTTTTTTCCTATTATTTTTTGGTGAAAATGTTAGAATAAGCAAGAGTGTTTAGTACGAAAATAACCAATATATGTACATTATTTGTTGGTATTTTGGTGATTAGAGTGTTTAATAGGATCCAATCAAATTTATTTAGACTCAATTAGTTCTTAATTTTTTTTCTATCATTTTTTTCTTTAAAAACGTTAAAATATATCTTTGAAGAATGGATAAGGCTAAATTAATTTGCACCCATGAATTATCTTTTTCTTTTTTTTTTTGGAGGGGAATTTCAAAACAGTGGGACAGACCAAAAAAAAAAAACACAGTACAAAAACATGTGGGGTGCAAGTGGTTTTGTGATGGGATGCAAGTGAAAGGATGTGAGGGTGCAAGTGTGACTTGCATCCCTCTATGTTTTTGTAATTTTTTTTTTCTCCCACTGGGATGTAATTCCCCCTTTTTTTGGGGGGTGAAATAAACATGGTTTAATATGACATGGGTTAGGTTAGTCCGACACAACGGTTCCACGTTCACAATTGTTTTTACTTTTCTTTGAACAATAAGCAATTAAGCATACACACCTTTTAAAGTGTTTTACATTTTAAAATAAAGGGTTCTCAACTTACTTTTTCCTTTTTTGTGCTCTATTTAGGTTTCTAGGTCCATTTTTTAAATGTCGAGAGAATATATTATGGTTTTTAAATAATTTTATTGTTGGTGAGATTTGGACAGTCATCTTTTGCCGTGAAGGCATTGTATGCCTTTCCAATTAGATAGTGTAATCATGTTCTTAGATAAGAACTATGGTATAACATGTGCCAAAATCAAATTATTTTATTTATTTTTATGTATATGATTGTCCAACAATATTTTTTTGGTAGTTTGTGCTGAATCTTACGATTATCAATTTCATTCGATTTGATTCATGATTCCCAAATTTAGGATTTTGATTCATGATACAATTCTTGATTTGACAACTATGATTCAGAGGATTTTGTATGTCTTTATCTTTTCTGTCTTTTTGCATCTAAAATATTATTTATTTATTCACTGGAAATGTTTATATATCATTAATTGGGTGCCATGGTTTGTCAACATGTACTTGCTGCATTACTGCAGCTTCTTGATGCTGTTTCTCGCATAGCGAGTCTGGGATTTGAAAAGTCTTATCGTGAAACTATTGTTCTGATGACAAGAAGCTATTTGAGTAAACTCTCCAGTATTGGCTCAGCTGAAAGTAAAACCCTAGCACCAGAAGCCACAACAGAACGTGTTGAGGTACCATAGCTCTTCATATGTGTACAGTATGTGATTATCAAGTTTAATGGAATTCATTCTACTAAATGGGTGCTCACTGGTTCAATCATTCTAGACTCTTCCTGCAGGATTTCTTTTAATTGCTAGTGCTCTTTCCAGTTCTAAATTGCGGTCAGACTATCGTCATCGTCTGCTATCCTTGTGCTCAGATGTAGGCTTGGCTGCTGAGTCTAAAAGTGGAAGGTAGAGTTCTTTTTAAATACAATATGATCAATGGCATTGGCATGTCATGCTTCGATGTGCAATTCCCCTTTTTAATTATCAATTAATCATATGAAAAATTGTGCTCCCTTTGATGCTTTGTTCATGTTTTACTTCCCACATCAATTTGATTCTCCTAATTTACTGTGTGTGCTTTGACATTTCTTGACCAAGACCTTAACATCTGCAGGAGTGGAGCAGATTTTCTTGGACCTCTACTTCCTGCTGTTGCTGAAATATGTTCGGATTTTGTTCCTAGTGTAGATGTGGAACCTTCAGTTCTAAAGTTTTTTCGTAACCTGTGGTTCTACATTGCTCTTTTCGGGTTGGCCCCTCCCATAATGAAAACTGAGGTTCCAATGAAGTCTGTTTCCACTACACTGAATAGCGTGGGGAGTATGGGTGTAATTGCCCTTCAAGCCGTGGGTGGACCATATATGTGGAATACTCAATGGTCTTCTGCTGTCCAGCGCATTTCTCAAGGGACCCCACCCCTTGTAAGTTTCATCTTACACAAGTATCCTTTGCCATTCTGTTTTACCCTTGATTTACTAATCTTTTCATTTTTTCCTCTGCGATAGAACTAATGTTGCTCCCCGTTTCACAAATGTTTTAGTTATCAAAGGAATTGATACAGTATATTGCTGCTTTGGAGATTGATATTGTCAAATGAATTTGCAGAGCTTTTCTGAATTCTTTAATTTTGTGCACAAAAATACATATTATGAACTTGTTTGACCAATTACCAAACCAAACCAAACCAAACCAAGCCTTAAGTCATATTAAATGGGGTTGGCTATATGAATCCTTCTTCTCCATTCTATCAAAAGGCCATTTGGTTAGTCAAATTAAGGAGATTCATATCTCTATTTACTACACTAGCCCACATCAATCAAGGTATGCCCCTTCCCTAACACTCCCATCTACCGTCACTATATCACATCTCTTCACTACCTCTATTGGTCTCCGTTGTAAAATTAATTTTGAGAAAATTTTGTGAAAACAACTCACTTTTAGGAAAAAGATTGTCTTGCATAAACCTCAAACTTTTCATTGTTTTATTTCTAAAAACATGAAAAATGAAAATGAAAAACAAAAACAAAGAAGATGAAAAGATAACCAAACATGCCCTATATAATTGTTCTGCAAGTAGCGGTTTTTGCTTGCTGCAATGGTAAAAGTTAGCTGCTATTATTTATTTGTTTATGTTTTACTAGGTCATATGAGTCCGCATATTTTTGTAACCTTTTGATTTGCTAACAAGATCTGTAGTGTTGGTCCATGGTTCCTATTATGTGTCTTGTTTCTTGTTCTGTGTATCTTCTTTGTTAGGTTTTGCTGGAAATTTGTGTTAATAAGATAGTGTCATATGATAGTGGTGTTGGTGGCATATAGTGGCATGTATAGAATATGATAGTGGTGTTGGTGGAAGATAGTGGCATGTATATAATATGATAGTGGTAGATAATGGTAATATATAATAGGTAATTGGCATATAATGGGTTATAATGATGTTTGTAATATCTCCTGTATAAGGAGTGTCATTTGGTCTTGTAAGATAAGAAGTTTTAAATATAACAGAAATATATTCCTTCTTCCTCATATTTTCGGAGTTCTTCTTCCTCATATTTTCTAAGTTGGTATCAGAGCCACAAAAAACACAGCAGCCCTAAAATCGTCATAGCCATGTCAGAAGTCATTCCGGTGAAAACGTCCAACTCTCACTCTGTCCAAATCACCACCATCCGCCTAAATGGTGATAATTTTCTCCGCTGGTCACAATCTGTCCGGATGTATATCCGTGGGCAAGGAAAGATCGGTTACATCACTGGTGACAAGAAGGCTCCTGCTGTTAATGATCCGCTGTTCGACAGTTGGGACGCTGAAAACTCCATGGTTATGACATGGTTGGTCAATTCCATGGAGGACGATATAAGCTCTAATTACATGTGCTATACTACTGCACAAGAATTGTGGGATAATGTTAGTCAGATGTATTCTGACCTAGGAAATCAATCTCAAGTTTTCGAATTAACTTTGAAGTTGGGAGAGATTCGTCAAGGAGATGATTCCGTCACCAAATATTTCAATTCATTGAAAAGGTTGTGGCAGGATCTTGACATCTTCAACACATACGAATGGAAATCGGTTGACGACTGCAACCACCACAAGAAAACTGTGGAAGACAGCCGTATTTACAAGTTTCTTGCCGGCCTCAACATTGAGTTCGATGAAGTGCAGGAGAAAATCAATGCTGGCATAATCTGTATGACCTACCTTCCAACAGGTGAACAATTAGCTGATGTGCTAACGAAGGGACTACACAAGAGGTTTAGAGTAGTCTTGGCAGTCAAAGACACATAGTTTCTTATTTTAAACTCCTACTCCCAGTAAGTAGGACAACTATAGAGGCCTACATAAATTTACTTCTGATTTATGTACCTAATAGAATTGAGTGAAAATCTGCATGAAGCTTTTGAAGCTTCGTGTGATGGGTAATGCAACCTTACCCTAAGACTTGATTCTTATGGAGTTCTTGCCTTAATGAGGGAAATAATTCTTTTTTGCTTTTGCGTTCTTTCTTCTTAAGATATGTATTTGGATGTTAAACTCGCCTAAGGTTTCATGCAGTAGTGGGGACCATGTAGCACGATTACAGACATGAGACATGGATAAGCTAACAACGTAAATCTTGAAAAAGTTAACATCTGGAGTGAGGACATGGACATAAGCATGCATATATACATGCAAACTTAAGATCTGGGAAGCACATAATTTTGTGCAATTCAAGCACAGACATAAATTACCATTTTTTTACTATATAAGTTTGTCATCTTTTATTGAGAATTGTGAATTATGTGCTTGACTTGTATCAGAAATGTCAACAATTCTTTTATTTCGTTTCTTTTGTCCTTATTTTCTTTGGGGGGTGCAAAGTGAGTTGTTTCCTTAATGACATAACTTCCTTTAATAAGTCCCCATGCCATGTGGGATGTGGGTAAGGTGGGCTGGCTGTTTATTAATTTGATATATCACTAATGTTTGATACTTATGCAATGGTCTAATAGAGATGTTATTGTTTATGCTGCTGTTGTAATGATAAAATTTTGACATAACAATCTGTTTTGCTCCAGGTTGTTAGCTCTGTAAAATGGCTTGAAGATGAGTTGGAGCTTAAGGCTCTTCATAATCCTGGTAGTCAACGAGGGAGTGGCAATGAGAAAGCTGCTGTAACCCAAAGAACTGCTCTTTCTGCTGCTCTAGGAGGGAGAGTTGAGGTGGCAGCAATGAGTGGCATTTCAGGTTTGGTATACTCCCTAATATTCAGTTCTGAAACACAAGTGGATTTCTATGTTTTGTGATTGTTTTGCAGGCCAACAGTGGTTGGCTTTAAATGAGTGAAGTTGGTGGTTTTGGGCTTTGCTTGATAGGCTTATGAGTTATGAAGTTATTGAAACAAGATTTCTTAGTCTAACAATTGGTGTGTGAATAGCCTTTGATTCATTATAACTTTTCCAGGTGTGAAGACTACTTATCTCCTTGCGGTAGCTTTTTTAGAGATAATACGATTTAGCAGCAACGGTGGCATTCTTAATGGTGATCCTAGTTTAACTGCTCCTAGAAGTGCCTTTGGCTGTGTGTTTGAATACCTGAAAACTCCAAACCTCATGCCGGCTGTTTCCCAGTGCTTGACAGCAATTGTCCATCGGGCTTTTGAAACAGCAGTTTTGTGGCTGGTATTTTTATTTCATTTCATTTCATTTCATTTAAGGCTTGTTGGTTTGTGGCCCTTTTCTTTTTATTGGTGTTCTCATGTTGATGATTTTGATCCTATGAGACTTGCCAAAACAGCAAAAACATGATTCATCCTCTGACAATTTTGTAGAATGACTTTGGCTTTACATGATATCTGATATTTAGTTATTGAAGTTGATTTTGTTATTCTTTAGTCTTTACCATGTTCACAAATTTTAATAATTCAAAAAGTTTGACCAAAGTTTCCTCTCTTTTTATTAAATGTGTTGAATATGATATGTGGGATGATTGTGATTGTTCTATAGTCAAAAATAATTTTGACTTTTTTGACATTTTAGCCTCCCTTGTGAAAACAATAGAAAACGAGTTGAAAATAACCCGATCTTTTATCCAATGACAAACTTGGTGTGTTCTTTCAGTTATTATTCAAATATTAAAAACCATGGACACGTAACACGATAGTGATACGCCAACACATAAATTTTTAAAAAATTGTATGACACGTGCAAACTATATAATTTTATATATTTATTATGTCATACATAAGGATAAAAATTGTTACATGTCATATAATTTAATATTTAAGTCAAAGTAAAGATAATAATTAATAAAGTTTAATTTAGAAAAATATGTATAAATTTACATTATTTTTGTTTTATCATTGGATTTCAAGTTATTTTATTCAAACTTGTAATATGTTTCATGTGTGTCCAAGTGTTGGGAAGTGTTCGATGAGTGTCGTGTTGGTGTTAGACACGACATCGTTACCTTCTTAGAAGTGTCTGTGTTTCTTAGATTAGATCACTGTAAATTGATAATTGGATTTTTTGTTTTAAAAAAAAAAAATTTGTGGCAAAGCAGTCCATTGTTGTTGAAAGTTGAACACAAGTCTACATCTCTTTTTTTTTTTGGGATAAATAATTGAACTTTATCAGAAAAGCATGAAGGTGATGCAAGGAATACAAAGAGAAAATAAATCAAGTCTACATCTGGTCCAGATATAAAGTGAAGTGATATTCAGATTAATCAATGTTAAACTGAGACAGACAGCTAAGCAACTTAGGAACCAGTTCCCGTTGGCTTGGGTTGACAGCTTGAGGGAACCGGTCAACCCTTTTTTGGTGGAGGAATTAATCTACTTATAGAACATTGTTTCTGATAAATTGTTTTGCTTCCCAGCTAGCTTATTTTGTTTTATTGAATAAAGAAATACTGAAGAAGTATGGAAACGTGGATGTTACATAGTTTCTTTATTCTTATCTACTTAAGATGCAAGAAGTGAAGTAGATTCTTTTTTTACATGTGAATCAACTTGATTAGTGAAATTAGCCGTCCATATATATATATATATTAATTGACTCTGGTTATTAATGAGCTAATGGGCCTTGAATATATGACTTGATGGGCACCAAAGGTTCTTGTTATGCATTGATGGCCTAGGCTGGTGGGTCTAGAGTCTGGATGCATTTTGTACTCTGTATAAATGGTGGAGTTAGGGTCTATATTTTGTTGTTCTTTGTGCTCTGAGGGTATCCAATTCTCTGGCTCATAAAGACATGATTTTCTCTTGCCAGAGGTTGCCTAAATAAATTAATCTCTTATTGGAAATATCCTCGTTACTTGTCTTCTTAGGCTTGTTCAGCCTTTTTATGTTATTGTTTTTAATGATAATATTATATTAACAGGCACCAAAAAGTGGGGCCGCAGAACCAGTACACAAAATGTGACGGAAAGATCATTTATGTTGTCAACAGGAATATACAGATCCCCTAAAAATTCAATAAAAGATGACGTGCAAAAATGGAAAGACTCTTTCATCCAAGAATAACGGGATGCAAGAAGTATCCCCTTTAAACAGTTACTAGAAAGTTCCACTCCCTTTGAAAGCCCCGTGATTCCTTTCCCTGCAAATATTCCACATAATACACAGTGGGGCTTCTTTCCATCCCATGCTTTCTTGTCCCTCCGCATGCCTTCTTGTTCCCAACAAGCCAAAAGATCAGTAATAGAAAGAATCCACTGAACTCGAAATACTGAAAAAGACCAGGCTCCAAAGCTCTCTATTGGAGAACAATGTGTTGCTACATGATTTTTAAAAATATATATACATTTTGTTGGATACCTAATTTTAAAAGAAAATTTTTCTAGAAGTAACTTTAATTTTTATAGTGTAATCTATACTAGTCTACTCATATTATACCACATTTTAGGGCATGTTGCGTATTACGTTCCCGTTCCACATACGGGAATGATCCACATTCCAGGTAACATAGCTTGGATCTTCACGGGGCGTGGACCTCTGTCCTTTACTCTTTAAGTAGAAACTTTGGAGCTTTTTGAGGTAGATCCTTAGCATACCTTCTCTGGAGGTGTTTTTTTAGAATTAGTTTACGTTATAAAAGTTGGTCAGTTGAAAAGAAAATAAAGCTAAACTTGCATGCTTTAAATTTGTATTGGCTCAACTGAGTGTGGCACTGATTTTTTTGTTTTTGTTTTCATGTGGATTCATGCCCTGTCATATGTAAAGTTTAGAAGTTATAATTGTTACCCCTCCTGTACGATATTGCTTTGCTTATTTATTTTTCTCTCAGGCTTTTATTGTGCGAATGTTACTGATCTTTAGGTCTGAGTGCAGGAGGATCGGACATCTGGGGCAGGCAATGAAGCCAAGATTAGAGAGTCTACTCTTTATGCACATGCATGTTTTCTCATAAATAATATGGCTCAAAGGGAAGACCAGATTCGGGATATCTCAGTTAACTTGTTGACTCGACTTAGAGATAAGTTTCCACAGGTGAAGTTTCTTTTTCTATTTTTTTGTTTGGTTGCTGGTAAACCAGTGGTAAAATTTATGGGCAGTAACAGTTTCTGTTATATTTCAGTTTTTATTTTTGATTTGTTATTTTTTAGTTTTCATTTAGTTCAAACTTTATTCTGTGTTCATTTAACATGCTGAATACACCTAAACAGCCGAATTACACTCGTGCAGATCCTGTGGAACTCTTCCTGTCTAGATTCCCTACTATTTTCAGTGCATAATGACCCACCCTCAGCTGTTGTACATGATCCTGCATGGATGGCTAATGTTCGCTCTTTGTACCAAAGAATTGTTCGGGAATGGATTGTTATTTCACTTTCATATGCTCCATGCACTAGCCAGGGTCTTCTTCAGGTTTGTTGACTCTTGTAATTTTGAATCATCTTATAGTATGCCCTTCAGATTATTTCAATGACACAAGAAATATGACATTTGTTTTCTTTTTCTTTTTATCCACAAAATAAAATGTTAGTGGATGTTGATTTCCCGTCAGTTTCTCACAGGATGTTACTTTATATTTGTACGTGATCAGATTGTCATCTTGAATCTGTTCGAAAGAATACCAACAATATTTTGGATATTTGTATGTAATGTAATAAATTTTGTTTCTCACCCATAATTAGTTTATGTTGGTAAGTCATTATAGTGGCCTTATTGGTGTTTGGTAATGTCATATGGACCTCTGGACTCGTGTTTAGTGCCTTGTCATTTTTTAAATGCTTTTTTGTTGTGACCTATATGAGACATGCCTTCATTGTCACGCAGACGCTATGGTACTACTTTGATCCTCCCAATTTTTATTGTTGTCATTTCCATAACGTTTGTTTTATTTTTAATTTTTAATTTCATTTGTTGATAGAACCTTGTTTTCTTTTTCTTTCTCTTTTTCTTATTTATTTTATACATCAGGAAAAGCTCTGTAAAGCAAACACATGGCAAAAAGCGCAGTCTGCCTCTGATGTTGTTTCTCTTCTGACTGAGATACGGATTGGTACTGGTAAAAATGATTGGAGTGGCACAAAAACTGCAAATATTCCAGCGGTGATGGCTGCTGCTGCTGCTGCATCTGGAGCAAACTTGAAATTGATGGAGGCCTTTAACTTGGAGGTGCTCAATACAGGTGTAGTTAGTGCAACAGTCAAGTGTAACCATGCTGGAGAAATTGTGGGCATGAGAAGGTTGTATGAAAGCATTGGTGGAGTTCAACCAGAGACTTCACAAACTGGCTTTGGGCTTGGTATTAACCTTCAAAAGTTGAGATCTGGAGTGTTTTCTCAGCAACCACCCCAGCAAAATGATGCTTTTAATGAGATTATGCTGACCAAGTTTGTGCGTCTACTTCAACAGTTCGTTAACATTGCAGAGAAAGGTGGGGAAGTGGATAAATCATTGTTTCGTGAAACTTGCTCCCAGGCTGCTGCATTGCTTCTTTCAAATCTGGTAATTATAGATCTCTGTCCATATGTTCTGTGTACTGAAGAATGTAATGTAATTCCTTATTTTGTTCTTATTGAATATGGTGGGTGATATTTTCAGGGTTCTGATAAAAAATCAAATATGGAGAGCTTTTCACAACTTTTACGTCTTCTTTGCTGGTGTCCAGCGTACATTTCCACTCCCGAAGCAATGGAGACTGGTATATTTATCTGGACATGGTTAGTTTCTGCTGCTCCTCAATTGGGATCTCTTGTTCTTGCTGAGCTTGTTGATGCTTGGTTGTGGACAATCGATATGAAACGAGGTCTCTTTGCATCAGAAGTGAGGTATTATGGACCTGCTGCAAAATTGAGGCCTCATCTTGCACCTGGAGAGCCAGAAATGCCACCAGAAAAGGATCCTGTCCAACAAATAATTGCTCATAGACTGTGGCTTGGATTTTTTATTGACCGTTTTGAGGTGAGAAATTGTCACATTTTTTAGCACCCCCCTGAATCACAGACTTGAAAACTCAGCTGCAATTTTTGTGTTTTCCATAGTATTTATCAAATATACAGCAAACTTCAGTTGGAATGCTTTATAGTATTGTGCAATTGAGAAGTTTTTGCATTCTATGGTAGTCTTTTGATTTGAATCTGAGAATTTTTTGAACATTGTTCATCCCTTACATGTTGAAGTCAGGAATAAATATATATTTCTGTTAGCCATTACTGCCTTGGGAGCTGGAAGGATATATGTTGGATTGTGGTAATTAGCATGCATATCACAGCTGTTCTCTGTTGATAAATATCTATGTCTTAACTTTTTCATCCATGACATATCTAGTCTCGGTTTTGTATACACACTGATGAATCTTGCAAGGGCATTGAAGTATCCTCAGGCAACTGTTAATGGAAATTTACATTTGCTGGGCCACATGTGCCATGCTCATGTTCAATGAGGACAGGTTGAGTTATAATAGAATTTCAGTTGCTTCTAATGATTTTTTGAACTTGATAAAATACTCATGTGCCAATTCTAATGGGTGTTAGACTCAAAATTGTTTCATTTCACTAGTATAAATTCATTCTCCTGATATAACTCTGATCATCCTTATGTGGCAAGTTATTATGTTAATGGGTGCTCAGCTAAAATTGTGAAAAGGAGATCTTTGCGGAATGTTTATGTTTAATTTTCTCATCACTTTTTATATTTATGTTATGAAAAGCCTCTTTACAGTTATTTCCTGTGGTCCAAGAACACATGTGGGAAATGGCTGCGGAGAGATGGCAGTAATACTTGCATGCGTGTGTGGCTACATTTAATTATGACAACTCATCTTCTTCGCTCGCCTTAGTTGAACCTTTATTACATTTGATTTCTTCTAGCTTTGGAAATGGTTTAGAATTTTAATAGTTCTTGTTGATTTTGTTTGCTATTTTTTCTTTAAAATGTACCCTTTCTTTATGTAAAAAACTCGTACCCTTTTTTTAGGTGCATCTAAGGAGCATTGGTTTCTTATACACATCCAACATGGGCACATTTTGTTTATGAAAGTATTTGTGCTACTTCAACTCTGTGCAGTTTAGTAGTACAATGATTTGCTTTGTAATGTAGTTAGCATTTGGATATAAAGCGGAACAAAAAGGTGATACCCAGAATGTATGAAGTCAGTTTGCTTAATGACTTGATTTCTGTTTTGATTTATGTTGACAAATTTGGTACCACCAGCTATTTGCTTGAGGATATATCCTATCACCACAAAAGAGAAAGATGCAAGATTCAAATCCTGGATGTGGAGGGGATGCGGGAGTATGTGTTTGATTGATCTAAAATAATAGAAGGTTAAAAAATCTAGTGATGAACTTAGTAAACTTGGTTGAAAAGTTAGGTTGGAACCTTCATTTTACCTGGCATATCGTGGAAAAATGAAGTCACTTGCGCCAGGTGTGCTGCAGTTTCCCTTACCTGAAATGATAAAGAAGTAATTGATTCAACCTGATCACTTATTTATTTATTTATAAAATTAGTCACAATGATTTTTTTAACCTGACGCTAATGCTGCTTTAACCTATCCCATTTTCCTATTTTTAGTTTTCATCTCAACGAAAGAAGTCGCATTCATGTACTGACATTTTTTCTTTTAATTATTCGAGAAAATTTACCTATATTGTTAATTTTGTGGGCTTTCCCTTCTATGTCTGTTGGTATTAAAGTTGGATAAACTTTTGATTTATTCAACATAAGTGGATGTTCAATTTTTGTGATTTTATTTAGGTGGTTACCTGTTTCTTCTTTTCTTCTTTTTTTCCCATCCGCTAATCCATCCTGTTGTATAGGTAGTTCGACATGAAAGTGTTGAGCAACTCTTACTTCTTGGTCGGATGTTACAAGGGACCACAAAGCTTCCCTGGAACTTTTCACGCCATCCAGCTGGTACTGGAACTTTTTTTACCTTGATGCTGCTTGGGCTGAAGTTTTCCTCATGCCAGTCCCAGGGCAATCTGCAAAACTTCAGAACAGGACTTCAGCTGCTTGAAGACAGGATATATCGGTGAACAATTTAATTTTACTTGCTTTTTTTGTCTTCAGTGCATATTTTCCACAAGTGTGTTTACTTACATCAAGTACAGTTGCCATTCTTGTTTATTATGGATTTTTTATTATTATTATTATTTTTGATAAATAATCCAAACTTTATTAAGAAGCATCAAGACGATGCAAAAAATACAAGAAAGCCCAAAAACCAAATAAAAAGGCTAAAAAAAACTAACTAATTAAATCCTCTACAAAATCCACAAAAACCAAAACATTTGGGTCGACTGTACCCGTAACCCAATTATGCAACACTAACACTAGTCTACTCTCTAACCATGCAACAAAATGGCACTCATCCCGAAACACTCTCCTATTCCGTTCGAACCAAACCAACCAAAGCAAACAATGGGAAGAAAGCACCCAAGCCTTCCAACACCGCTTCTCCACCCTAGCGCCACCCTAACTCTGTAATACTCCCAATACAGAGGCCGGTTGCACCCATGCCAAGCCCAACAAACTAACAAGAAAATTCCAGAGTGTAAACGCTATCGGACAAAGAAGAAGCAAATGATCCACCGGTTCCGCATCCCTACAACACATGCAACACCAATTGACCAACATAGCCGTCGCTGAATCAAATTATCAATAGTAAGAATACGACCCAAAGCAGTTGTCCAAATGAAAAAAGCCACCTTAGTTGGAGATCCCTTCACCCAAATACACTTCCAAGAAAACACACCAAAATCATCCCCTGCTAGCACCTCATAAAAGGAAGACACTGAGAAAACCCCTTTAGACCGCCGAACATCCCATACTACAGAATCTAAACCAACCCCCTCCTGCGGCAGCCCATACAAGAAACCCAGAAGGTCCATCAATTGGTCTAACTCCCAATCTTGCATATCTTGGCGAAGACGAACATTCCAAACAACTGACTGCCCCTTCCTCACCCTCACTGAAGCAACCATCTCCGCCTCATCCGCGGCAATGGCATAAATCAATGGAAACATAACTGCCAACGAAACCCCATCACACTACTGATCCTGCCAAAAACGAATCCTATCCCCCACCCCCACTTGAAACCGAACCTTACCCCAAAAGTCCCCTTTCCCCAACCATATCCCCTTCCACAACCCACGACCATGGGAATGAGCCACCCTCTTTGAAAACCAACCCCCCTGTCTTCCCCATACTTAGCCACAATCACCCTTCTTCACAACCGCTGCCTTTCCTTCACAAAACGCCACAACCACTTCTCCAATAGAACCTTATTAAACACCACCAATCTTCAAACGCCCAAACCCCCCCTGTGCTTAGGAATGCAAACTCTTGCGAAATCCACCAAATGATAATGACAACCCCTCCCTCCCCCACCCCACAAGAAATCCTGCTGCAGATTCTCCACCCTCTTGGCCACCACCACAGGAATCAAATGCACTGACATGAAATACGTCAGAATACTAGAAAGGACACTCTTGATCAAAGTAAGCCACCCCCTTTTGGACAAACATTGTCGCTTCTAGCCTGCCAACCGCCACTGCACCTTGTCCACCACCCCATCCCACACGCTTGCCTCCTTAAAGGTGGCCCCCAAAGGAAGTCCCAAATAAGAAACTGGTAAGGTAGCCACCTTACAACCCAAAACTGCCACTAACACCGACAGGCCAGCCACCTTGCCAACTGGGATCAATTTCGATTTAACCAGGTTAACTTGAAGCCCTGAAATTGTCTCAAAATAAAGCAATACACACAGCAAATGGCCCACCTGAACCGCATCCGCATCACAAAAAATTACAGCATCATCCGCATAAAAGAGATAAGAAACCACCAAAGGAACTGACTCCACCCCCACCTCAAAACCGGTTAACAAATCCCCCTGAACCGTCCTACGAATCAACCGGCTCAATGCTTCCATAATCAGAATAAATAGAAGTGGAGACAAAGGGTTACCTTGCCGTAAACCTTGCCAAGAAGGGAAAAAACCTGCCGGAGTCCCATTCACCAAGACAGACATCCGAATAGCAGAAATACAGAAATATATCCATCTCCGCCAACGCTTCCCAAAACCCATCCTCTCCAGCACATATAGAAGAAACTGCCAATTAACATTGTCATAGGCCTTCTCAATATCCAGCGTACAAATAATCCCCACCTTCCCCTGATGAAGTCGCGAATCCACACACTCATTGGCTACTAGAAAAGCATCCAAGATCTACCGACCACCCATAAAAGTATTCTGAGACTTGGACACCACCCCCTCTAAAACACCACGAAGTCGATTAGCCAAAACCTTGGCCAATAACTTATAAACACTACCTAATAGACTGATATGCCGAAAGTCTCGAATGTCCTCCGCACCTCCCTTTTTGGGAATCAAAGCAATAAAAGTAGCATTCAAACTTCTCTCAAACTGGCCCGTCTGATGGAACTGCGCAAACATGGCCATTACCTCCCTCTTCACCACCTCCCAACAATGCTGCAGAAAACCAATAGAGAAACCATCCGGCCTCGGAGCCTTATCCCCAGGCATACTCCTCAACGCCCCGAACACCTCCTCCTCTGTAAAAGGTTTCTCAAGCAACAAGCGCTTCTCCTTAGTAATAGAATCAAAAACCACTCCATCCAACCCCGGCCTCCAACCCTCACTCGGATCACGAAAGAGATGTTGGAAGAAGCCCACTACACCCCCCCAATATACTCTTTTGATGATAGCATCACCCCATTCACCCGTGACTTTCCTATTTGATTCACACGCCGATGAGCATTCGCCACTCGGTGGAAGAGTTTTGTATTCCGATCCCCATCTTTCAACCATAGGCATCTAAATTTCTGTTGAAAACTGATCTCCTCCACGCGAACCAACTTTGCATAATCCTGACGAGCCACATCCCTACACACCACATCTTTCGCGGAAAGTCCCGCCTCAACTTCTTTCTCGTCCAAGTCCGCCATGACTGACAAAATGTTGGCCTTTTGAACCTCCAAACGATCCAAAACCTTTACATTCCACCTTTTCAGATTAGCCTTAAGAAGTTTCAATTTCTAATTTCTGAGCCAATTGATTACTCGGTAACCCTACCCCAATATAACTCCCCCACCATCCCCTCCTGCGGCAGCCCATACAAGAAACCGTCCGCTTGTAACCACATATTCGCAAAACGAAATGGTGCCGGGCCACGCCGAACTCCCCCACTATCCAACAACAGTGGCCAATGATCAGAAATTGGCCGAGGCAACCGTAACTGGATCATTCGAGAAAATTGCTCCTCCCAATCCCCGGAAACCAGAAATCTATCAATCCGAGAACTTGCCCTGCCGCTAGTCCAAGTGTAACCTCCCCCTTGTAAAGGCAGGTCCACTAACTCCATCTTATCAATGAAGGAAGAGAAAGCCCTCATGGGCCTTGTCACCCGACTCCCTCCAAACTTCTCTGCTGGACTCCTCATAACATTAAAATCCCCCCCCCCACACACCAAGGCACCCCTTACCGAAATGCCACCGCCTACAATTCTTCCTAAAAAACTAGCCTCTCCGATCCTTGGACTGGCCCATACGTCCCAATACAGACCCACTGATAACCATCGTCAAGACACCAAAACAAACAGGACAAGGAGAAACCCCCTATCTTTTCCCCCTCCTTCACCAGCACCTACTATCCCAACAAATAAGAACACCACCAGCCACCCTTAAAGCTAGTTGAAAAGCCCATTCCACATGCCTCCCCCCCATAATTCCCAAATGGTCTCCACCCCAACCACCTCCATTTTGGTCTCTTGCAAGCACACCACATCCGCCTTAGCACTCAACAATACAGACTTAACCACCACACGTTTACCTTTATCATTCAAGCCTCGCACATTCCAAGTCAAAATTTTCAACCGCATGGCAACAAAAATGGTACACCACGCTCCTTCCTCTATCGTCTCTCCTCCTCTTTCATGCCACAGTCATAATTGATAGAACACTCCAGTCTCCGTAACTCCCGAACCCTTTTATTCTTTGGACCAACCGACTGTATTGTCGTTTCACCCCAGACACCCCTTTTCTACGAGGACTCAATTGCTGTAAACAACTTCAGAGCCTCATCCTCATGCCCTCTCAAAAGAAACACCCAAAAATTTACTAACCTCAGCAATCCAAGTCAGCACCCACTCGGATACCTCCTCTGGAGACGGTAGCTGATTGAAACCCGTCTCTGGCTCAAACTCAGAATCTGAAGGTGGATAAGGCAACCTAGCGTCCACATCCTCTATCGCCAAAGGCCTCACTGCTAGAGCCATAGTGTCAACCATCTTCTCCCACTGTACCTCACGTGCTGTTACCTACGTTACACGGACTCGTCAGTTTTGGCGAAGTACCCGTGTCGATACGACACGACATAGGTACGGGTACGGGATACGGACGGGATACGACATGGAAGAAGTGGATACGGCATGGAAGAAGTAGATATGGCATATGGAAGTAAGAAGAAAGATGGCATACCTGGGATTAGGGCTACGAAAACTGCGATTAGGCCTTCGATCCTGCGATTAGGGCTCTAATCTTCTTCTTTCGAACTGTCTTCTTCTCTCTCTCACTCTCACGCTTGATTGTTCTCTTCTTCTATCTCTTCTCTCACTCTCGATCATCTTCATCTCTCTCTTCTCTGTTTCGATCAACGTCGTCTCTCCCTTCTCTCTGTTTTCTTCTCTCTTTTGTTCTCTCCCTTCTCTCTCTGTATTCTTCTCTTGACCGTCTTCTTTTCTTTCTTCTTTTTAATTGGCGCCTATTATATTATATATAAATTATATCATAAATAATGTATAATATAAATTATATCATATATAATATATATTATATAATTTACCATAAATAATATATAATATAAATTATATCATAAATAATATATTGAGAACAACTCCTTTTCTTCCATCTTGAAAGTTGTCACCAGCCAACAAGTTAATAAATTTTCACCTTTTCACCTACCAATCAAAAGTCAAAAAAGCTACCATCTACCTATCAATTATATAATAATAAATTTAATTAAATAATATACAATAAAAAATTAATAAAATCTATAAAATACATTATCTATTTTATATTTATTTTAACATAATTTGTTATTCCTTATTTATTATATTTTTGTTATTTATAATATATATAATTATCAATAAAAGTAATACATAAGATAAAAATAATAAATATATTTAAAAAATAACTATTTAACTTATCTTTATATAATAAATATATTTTAAAAATTAAATATTTAACGTATCTCCGTACCCATATCCTCGTTTGGATCCATATCCACGTATCCTCAATTTTTAATTTTGAAGTACCCGATCCCTAGATACGTACCCGCACCCGATACCCGCACCCGAGTCCGTGTAACATAGGCTGCTACAGAGGCCTCAGAGCTTCTATCGCTTAGGACAGCATCCCCATGAAGCATAATCCTAACCTGCGAACCTGTCAGAGGGAACGACATCATCGCCACCGGAATCGACGCATGCTGCCCAAAAAGTGGACTCCCCATTGGACTCTGAATCTCCAACACCGACGCACGCTGCACCATCGCTCCGATTGGTGCATCCCCATTACTAGTAGAATGCCTGATCTGTCCGAGTCCATCACACAACGACCCAAAAACCCGAGCATGTGGCGGGTTAGTAGAGATAGACCTGGCCTCGCCTTTACCCATTACACTTGGGCCTGCAGTATGTAAGCCAAAACCGGCCCTTCCATTTACAGGAGTGCGGTGCATTTTATCAGAATGACCCACTTGAACACGGGCGCCCATACCACCCCTCCAGCCCACCCTACGAGAGTTTGGGCCAAACTTTCTATAGCCCACAGCATTAAAGCCCACCCCTCTCCAGAAGCCCTTTTCCCTCCCTCCCTCGCAACCAAAAGTCCACCCCAGACTTCCTTTTTCCAAAATTATGATCTAATTCCCCAAATCCTCCAGCACTTGAAATGCACCCCTCTTCACGCCACTATCCCCGACTTTCCTTTCTTGGCAGAAATTTCAATGCCTCCGCCGGCGGACCATCAATGACCATCGGCCCATCTTCCAATGCCAGGGGTAACACAAACTTCCATTCATCCCATCGGAGCACGAGTCGAGGTGGAATACTGCTGGTACGCCGGACTCTAATACGGACCACACCGAGATCCGATGACAACTCGTCGACGTTGACGAAGCCACCACACTTGCCACCGATTGCTCTGTACGTGGCAAAACCACGAAGACGTAGCGGTAAACCCAACACCCTCACCCACACTGTCGTAATCGGCATGACAGACTTAGCACACAAAATCGTCGGCGATCACCACTGTAAACCCAGATTGTGGCCATTGATGACCTGTCGGCACCACAGAACACCCTTCGCTTCTCGTCGTGAAGAAAACACGAAGAGAAATTCTTGACCCCTGACTGGTTTGATCTCCACCTTCCCTGACAACCGCCACCATTGGCCGACATAGCTTAAAACCCAACACCTCTCTCCCACTGTGCCCATTGTACCCACCAAGGCCTTGTCCAACAACTCAAACCACCCCTCCTCAGCCACAGCCCTTACTTCTTTCCCATCATCAACCACAAAACCTGCGGCCACCCCCACTATCAGAGCAACCCCAGGCCTCGCCACTGATTCATTCAACCGTCCTGGGCCTTTCACATCGCCATTCTTTGAAACCCAGCCATTCCCATTGGTGAAACCTTCAATAACCAGCGCCACTCCCGCCTAGCCATCCCCAAACTTAGAGGCAGGAAGAAAAATCTGATGTCTCTTGCCGGCGGTCGTGACCACAAGTTGAATCGAAGCCCCACCATTCTCCTCATTCCAATGCCAGAGTGCCACACTGCGGTGCTGCCCTTCCAAACGACCCAAAAAGGGTTGGGAGCCGAGATTACGCGAAGCCAACCGCAATTTCTTGGCAATCCAACACACTTCGAACCCGGTCAGAAGCACTTATCTCTGAAGGCCAAGCCCACGCTCTACAATCCCCAACCGGCGATGACCTTGATGGTCCTCTTATCTCCTCCTGCAATTCGAAAGAACGACCCCCTAAAAAGAGGATCCGACGCCGTGGTGTAGCCGCCGCCCTAACTGGAAACATACTAGGTACCTGCTTCATTCCGCCAGAAATCTTTTCTATTTTTGGAAACTTTAGAGAGCGTTCTATTAAACACGGATTTTTTGACGTCTTTTTGTTTATCATCTTTATTCTCCATCATTCTATGTCACTTTACCTGTCTAGAATGTCATTTTTCACCTTTTCCAGCCTACTGTTATCCGTTGCGGCCACATGCGCATAAACTAAAATTCATGCTAGGCACTATTTGAAGTACGTCCTGTGGAACTTACCCAAATCTTCATGTGTCTATGCATCGCAATGAGTGGGTAGATTTTTTTTTTTCTTTAGTTCCAACTTAACATGTATGCATTTGCATCCATTGGTTTATTCATAATTTTGAATACGTGCTTGCCATTTGCAGTTTCTTTTGTGTATATGTTTATTTATATCAACACTTCCGAAGCCCTCAGATATACTAATATTCAGTTCTGCAGCTTCTATTTTTAACTTTTTTTTATTTTTTTTAAGTATAATATTGCATCTGGAAATTGAGTGTCTTTTTTGGCATTTACAGAGCCTCTTTGGGCTGGTTTTCCCATGAGCCTGAATGGTATGATCTGAACAGCATAAATTTTTCCCAGAGTGAAGCTCAATCTGTCTCTGTATTTGTTCATCATCTTTTGAATGAGCAAGTGGATGCTCCCCAACTTGATCCAAAAGGACGTGGACGTGAAAACGGGAGCTCTTTGAGTGATTTGGTAAGATAATTATAGTTGCAGCATATGGAACCTGCAGCTACTAAAGTCAGCCCAAAAGTAGTCTTATTGCTTCTTTTGCTACAGTTTTTTTTTTTTGGTTCTTTTTAAATTTATTTATTTTCTGTTGGCATAGTATTTGTCTCTGCTAATTTTTGCAGTTCATCCATGAATTTCTTTGATTATATGCAGAAGGATCATTATCACCCTGTTTGGGGCCATATTGAGAACTATACTGCTGGAAGAGAAAAGCGGAAGCAGTTACTCTTGATGTTATGCCAACATGAAGCCGATAGGCTTGAAGTTTGGGCACAACCTGTTACCTCAAAGTAATCATCATCAAATTAACAGTTGTTTACTGATCGTGTCAGTCTTCTGGTTAAGGATAATGATATGATTTTGACATTCATTTTATGCTATTGCATTCACATTTGTATCAGGGAAAATACACCTTCTCGTCCTAAAATTACATCAGAGAAATGGATTGAATATGCCAGAACTGCGTTTTCTGTTGATCCACGGATAGCACTATCCTTGGCCTCGAGATTCCCTACAAATACTTTCTTGAAGGCTGAAATGACTCAGCTGGTTCAGGTCTGTTATTCTTGTCTTAATTGGTGGAATTTGGAAATCCAAAAAAACTAGAACTTTATAACTATTCTTATTAGGAGGAGCATGCAAGTGACAAATGTTTGAAGTAAGCTTTGATGTAGGAAAATTGCTGTGATTGTCTGCATGAAAAAAATTTAAGGTTAGGGAAAAATGTGTGAGAATTGAGTGCATTTAAAAAACATGTAGAAAACTATTTGAAAATAGATAAGATTTGAGTTAATTTGTGGAGCAGTTTTGACTCTTCTACGTAGCTAACAGTTTGGTGTCTGGGCCTAGTGATGACTATGGGACTGCTACATGATAAGATTGAGGTATGGCTAAGAATTCATGACTTGCACACATAGCAACTCGTGTAAAGCTCAAAAAGTTACTTTTATTGTGATTTTTCTCTCTACTGTAAATGATTTAGGCCTTGTTTGTCATAACTTAAAAAAGTCAAAAAGTCACTATCCTATTTAAGTCACATCATCTTATTTAAGTTCCATTACCTCTCTACCACATCACTTCAAACCCAATTCATACCTAACCCATATTTCATAAAAAGTCAAAAAATGCACTTATTTAGATTATCCCAAACCACCCCTTAAAATCTGATCTCTGGCGAACAAGTGAGCTGATGTATCCCTAACATATTCTGATTTATTGATTAAAATAAGGTTATTGAGAGCAGTAATTGGTTGTTAATTGGTCAAATTTGAAAACAACATTGCAGGGCCATAACCAACGTCTCACTGATTAACGAAAGCGACTCTCTCTCTCTCTCTCATAAATTAAGATACTAATTAAGAAGCCTGCTTGTGCACTGTGTCTGCTATTGACCAAAGAGCTCTAAATTATTGTGTGAATATTAACCAAATCACTCTATAAACCCAAGTTCACTCAAAATTATATGTTTTTGTGCTTCCATTTGTCATTCGTTGAGTGCTTGGATATAGTACCTTTAGTTTATTTATTTATTTATTTGTTTTTTTTCTTTTTTTTTTTTTTTGGGGGGGGGGGGGGAGGTTTCTTTTTTCTAAGTTGTTGGGTTTACCCCCCCCTTGCTTCCTTGACATTATACACGTCATTTAGTAGTAGACATTATACATTTAATAGTAACTGAGAAATTATTGAATTAATGGTAAGATGATTGATAAGAAAGTGATGCACTCGATGTGAATTCATCTTCTTTAATTACCCATTTTATCAATTAGGTTTTCATCTGATTTGATCAAAGGATATGCTTGTCTGGATTGTTCTAACTGTTCGTACTTTTTACACTATAGATGCATCATAATCTCATTTGAAAGTGCAATTCTCCTTTTCTTTTAAGATTTTATTTTATCATTTTTGTTTAATTCACTTCCAGGGGGGCTTATTCGTTGAACTAACGGCAGATATTATCTATTGCAGTCGCATATATTGGAGCTCCGCTGCATACCTGAAGCATTGCCATATTTCGTTACTCCAAAGGCTGTTGATGAAAATTCATCACTTTTGCAACAACTGCCGCACTGGGCTGCTTGTTCGATCACACAAGCTCTTGAATTTCTTACTCCATCATATAAAGGTCATCCCCGTGTGATGGCTTATATTCTCAGAGTTTTGGAGTCTTATCCTCCTGAGCGAGTAACCTTTTTCATGCCACAGCTAGTACAGGCCCTACGATATGATGATGAGGTGGGTTGTCTTATAAACATGTTAATGCATGCTATACATAATATATGGGGGTTGAACCTGATAGATGGAATCTTCATCATTCAGTCCAAGGGTAGCTATTTAAGGGGGGTTAACCTGATAGATTGAGCCTGAATTCATCATGGATGGTTTGGACAGGAGACTTAGTGCTTATGGTTGGGTATATATTTCTAAAATAATCCTAGTTCCGGCGGCATTTGGGCAACACAGTTTTCAACTTGAATTGACATCTTCAGTCAGGGGTTGTATGCGAACCCAATTATGTTCTATGTTCAAAATTTTTCGTTGGATTTTTATTAAGTGCATTTGGTTATGTGTAAATTATCTATTGCTGAAAAGTCAAAAACGACTTAAAAGCTAAGAGCATGGACAGTTGCATGGAGGAGGCTTGTCATGTTGGACACTCCTAAAAGCATATCTAACACCTCTTTTATGTTTTTTAATTAAAATTTGAAATTCATAATATTAATATCGAACACTTTACAAATACTTCAGTGACGCTTCTTCAACCCTCCGAACACAAGCTATGTGATGAATCTCTTTATGCTGCATTTTCTGGAATGCAACTTATGCACTCTAAAAATATTTTGAAATATTTATTATTTGAATATATTATGTGTATTTCAATGTTCTACAATTGTTTTACATATAATGCGCAAATGGTATCCTAATGTTTATGTTATGGAATATATAGTTTTTTAATTTTAATTAGTGTTATGTTGCTTTTTTTTTATTACCTTTGAATAAACTATTCACATATTTGACATATAACAAATTTTAAACGTGTACCCCTATCATGTCCTGTATTTTTCTAAAAATTTCGTATCATATGTTTGTGCTACTTAGCTTAAAAGGTATATTTTTATTTGCTATGTAGATTAATATTAGATCCACAAACAACTAAAATTAACAAAAACTAACACTAATTCAATATAATAAATAAATAAATAAACCACACTTAAGTTAATTCTTATATAGTAAAAAGTAATAAACATTCAACATTCAATATCCAACATCCATGAAAAGCACTAAAGGAGAAGGAAAAAGAAACTAGTTGTTGTGTTCCCTTAAAACAAATTAATTAAATTAAGGGACATGCCAGCTGGTGTGTCCCGTACATGTACTCACGGTGTCCCTGTCTGACCTGAAGCTACACCCTCTTTTAAGTTCAGGTTTTGTTGAGCTTTGTCAAGTGTTCCATTGTAGGGTTGCATCAAATTGACCTCGAACTTGATTGAGGTCCTGAGTTGCAACTTTTCATACTACCATTGCTCTATTGGGTGCTATTTTTTGTATATAATTTAGGTTTATCTGATAAATAATTTTTTTATTTGCAGCAATTAGTAGAAGGTTATTTGCTTAGAGCTGCTCAAAGAAGTGACATATTTGCTCATATTCTAATATGGCATTTACAAGTATGGAAATTTTTGCTTTAGTCATGTAATTGAATAAATGGCTGCTCTTTCTTATTATATTGATGAAAGCAAATGCATTTTAAAGATAATGTGCTTCTAATGTCAAACATGTTTTAGCTTAATAGTGACAATCTGTCTGCCATAAACAGGGTGAGACAGTACCGGAATCAGGGAAAGATGAAGGATGTGCGAAGGTATGTCTATCCAAAAAATATTTATTCATTATTCTTTTTTTCTTCTTTCCTTTCGAGAACATCCGAGGCCATAGCCTGGGGGAAGAGGAAATCTTGCCTAGAATTAAACCCTTGACCTCCTACTTCGGTGCTGGTGTTTTGGCCAACTGGGCAAGCTGTAGTTAGTAGTTGGTTATCTATACATCTTGTTGATTAATTTATTTTTAGATTCAATTTTGGGTATTGGCCCACATTTTTTTGTTTATTTTGGGCATAACTTACCATGGACTTATGAATGGGTGTACTTGAAGATGTAAGTAGAGGTGTTATTCTGTAAAATCAATCCTTTACTGGTGCCAACATAATCTATGTTTTATTTGAATTGTAAGTTAGGCACCATGTTAGATGTATTGCATGTATCACATGCTTCAAAATGGCTGAGGCTTTTGAAACCAGATGATTCTAAACAAATATGAGGCCTTCTGTATGTTAAATTCCAATCTTTATAATTTTTTGAATAAACATAAATAAGTAATTGGAGTTGTGGTGGTTCTTTGTGAGCCTTAACAAATTGGACATTAATTGTTTGGAAAAATTATTTGTAGCTTTCATGACCTTGATGAATGGATTGGATCTCATTTTCACCGAAATTTTCATCAAATTTAAACTTGATGAAGGATTGGAGATGTTCTAATGTGAATTCAATTAGTGTAAATTTTGAAGCTACTAGTACTGTCAAATTGTTCACTTTCATTCTTTACCTAGTCGTATGAAGTTGATTGTTTGGGCTGATTGGTAAAGACTGGTTTTTCTGCTTCTATTGTCCATCGACTTTAACCCCTGAATGATATTTGTGTGGTATGTGTCATTTTGGATAACATAATAGATGCACTTTGTTGTTTTGTAGCAAAAAAGACAACAAAAGAAAGCCAAAAAGAATGCTTCTAGTGGGAGCAGAAGGTTATTGCCTCAAAATGCAACATCATTTTTTGTTTTTAACCTTGCTCTCAAGTCTTTCAAAACTCCACCATAGATACCACCAGCACTAATACGGTCATGACATTTCTTTCTTGAAAACATAGTATAATGCAACTCATGTGTACCAATATATCTGCATGTTTAGGGGATGGATCTTTGCTATATATATCTATTGTTGGAGTTTTGTTCTACCGGTGTGCATAACTTCAATGATCTTATGACAGAATTGTGATTTTCTTTAATCATTGGAAACATTTTCACTGCCTGAGTTTTTCTCACTCTTTGCTTAATCACATGGACGTATCCTTGTTATTTTCAGAATAGTTCGTTTCTAGAGCTATTGCCTGTTGTTAGGCAACGAATAATTGATGGATTCACTCCCAAGGCCACTGATGTTTTTCGAAGAGAATTTGATTTCTTTGATAAACTGACATCTATATCCGGTGTTCTCTTTCCACTTCCAAAGGAGGAACGGCGAGCTGGTATACGGAGGTATTTTTCTATTATGGTTGTGTTAATTAAAATAATGCTGTGTTTTGTGGCTGTTGAAGATGGATTCTAATCTTCTTTTTTAAAACAGAGAGTTGGAGAAAATTGAAGTGGAAGGAGAAGACCTTTACCTACCTACTGCTCCTAATAAATTAGTCAAAGGTATTCAGGTTGACAGTGGAATACCCCTACAATCAGCAGCAAAAGTTCCTATTATGATCACATTTAATGTGGTGGATAAGGATGGAGATTGGAATGTTACAAAACCCCAAGCTTGCATCTTCAAGGTAACTCTATCTAGTTACTATGTATTGGGATCATGCATGTGGAGGTGAATTTGGAAGGTTGATCTTGAAAGGAAACTGATTCTTGGCAAACTTATTAGGTCCAACTAATTTTTGCAAATTGAAAGAAACTCAATCTGCAAGTTACTTGCCAGTTTCCTTATTTCCTTATTAATTATTTTCTTTCTTTTCTTTCTCTCTTTTATATAAATTTTTAAAGTACAAGAACCAATCCGTGTGTTTGGTTTGAGTTTTTTGGATTAAGTTTTTTAAAAACTGAGTTTTTTGATTTTCGTGTTTTTTTTTGGTTTTTGTTTTTAGTGAATATTTTTAAAATTTTATACATTTTTTTTAACTTTTTTAGATGCATCTTACTTAGATGTATCCAAAAAGTAAAAAAATTGTGAAAAAATATTTTAAAAAATTAATAAATACATAAAAATACAAAAAATGTACTGAATTCTTGTTTTTTTTTTTGTATTTTTGGTATTTAGTGAATTTTGAAAAGATTTTTTTCACAATTTTTTTACTTTTTAGGTATATTTATGTTAGGTGTGTCTAAAAAGTAAAAAAAATTGCTTAAAATATTAAAAAAATTCAGTAAAAACAAAAAAATACGAAAAACAATAAAAGTAGAATTTTTTGAAAAGTGTTTTTGGAAAAGAGGAACCAAGCAAAGTGAATATATTCCTGATTCAAAAAATAGTTTATATTGCTAGTTTTCAGGCAAGGCTAAGCTGAGTTCTTTCTGATCTAGGTCGGAGATGATTGTCGGCAAGATGTTCTTGCTTTACAAGTAATTTCACTTCTTAAAGACATATTTGAAGCAGTTGGAATTAACCTCTATTTGTTTCCTTACGGAGTTCTTCCTACTGGCCCAGAGAGAGGAATAATTGAGGTGAGCTTGTTTTACTACATCTAAATGAGAAGTTTGTTTGCGTGTGTCCTCCAAATTTTTCAGATTACATGATGTATTTTGAATCACACAAATATATGGTATACCACATTGCAACTTATGTTCTTTTTGTGAAAATTTGTTCATTGGATCACATAAGAACAATATTGTCAGGGTAACTAAAAAGGTTGGGTTCTTTGCTATTTTATTCATCCACCTCAGAAAAGGGGGTGGGGTATGTGCAATAGATTGATACATACACACTCACAAGCATATGCATACACTTGCAAATAAGGTTGGGAAAGATTTCTAATTACTTTATTCATCCTTGAAGTTGAGTTCAACAAACCAGTATTTTGAAAATTCAGAAATATTTTTTTTTCTTCTTCATTGAATTTCTTGTCCAATTTTTTCCTACATGGGTGAAAATATAGAAATGGCCAAAAGTTTCTTGTTTTTGTTGAAAAAAGGCAACCCCCTTCCCCAACCCACAAAGACAAACAAAATACTTGCAAATAATATTTTGTTTCCGGGAAGGTTGAATTTTGTGATGATTAAAAAGCAGGGGGATTTCAGTTGGTCACATGCCTCAAACATGGCACTCGTGAAAATTGGTTTTGTGAAAATTAGTTTTGTTCAATGAATTTTGTTGACACAGAATGTTCAATCAATAACTTGGACTGATTTTAATTTGATATTCCTCTAAACGTGGATTAGTAAAATTTGGAGGGCAGTCCACCTCCCTAGTTGCTTCATATTCTAGTTGCCAATCAGTACTTTCCTAGCAAATTTATTTTGTGTGGTCCAACACAGCCTGAACTACAACATGGAGCACTGCCAGCTTTTCTGTGGACCGTGCTTTACCAATATATTTACAAAACTTGACAAATGTACAAAAATTAAGGTTTCTAAGTTTGTCATCAAAACAGTATTCATCTCTCTTTAGCTTCCCTCTGCTATGACACTTAGTTGAGTAGGCTTCTTCCAATCAAATCCAATATTTGTCAAAATGCCAAAAAGACAAATTTCTTAGTTGCTTCATATTCTAGTTGCCAATTGGTACTTTCCTAGCAAATTTATTTTGTGTGGTCCAACACAGCCTGAACTACATGGAGCACTGTCAGCTTTTCTGTGGACCGTGCTTTACCAACAGATTTACAAGACTTGACAAATGTACAAAAATTAAGGTTTCTAAGTTTGTCATCAAAACAGTATTCATCTCTCTTTAGCTTCCCTCTGCTATGACACTTAGTTGAGTAGGCTTCTTCCAATCAAATCCAATATTTGTCAAAATGCCAAAAAGGCAAACTAGAAACTATACTTCCACTGGCATGTACAAATTTCCTCTAAACTGCACAAAAGACAATTAATAAGGGGCAATTATGTTTCAAAAAAAAAAAGAGAGAGAGAAAGGAACACCAATCTTTTTTGTCAAGTCTCCAATTGTCCAAAAAGTTTAAGTTGTTAGGAAATTAGTCCAACAATGTATATCCTGTACCTATCAAGGAGAAAATACCCAACTTGAAAGCACTTTTTTGAGTAGTGTGTTACGCAAACATCCATGATTACCATACCATTTCTACAAGTTACACAAACATATAAGTTTGCTCTTTTTGTAGGTGCAGGTTCAAGCTAATGATACTTTATGAACTTTCTTTTTGTTTGAAAGATGGTCCATTGACATTTCATCTTGAAATCTAATCAGGCATGTCTGTTCTGCAGGTTGTACCAAATGCACCGAGCAGAAGTCAGATGGGTGAAACCACTGATGGTGGTTTGTATGAGATTTTTCAACAGGACTTTGGGCCAGTTGGTTCTCGCAGCTTTGAAACTGCTCGTGAGAATTTCATAATTAGCAGTGCTGGGTATGCCGTTGCCAGCCTTTTGCTTCAACCGAAGGATAGACACAATGGAAATCTTTTGTTTGACATGTATGCTTTATCACTTTTTGCATGAATTATGTTTACAGAAGTATTTGTGCCACTTCCAAAAGCGACTTAGTTATTATGCTCTGTTTGTTTTGGCATTTTCTGATGTTTGGTATGACAAAAAACGAAAGTCAATGGAAACTGTTTCTGTGATTAACAGGAAACTAGTTTATTTAGGCAAAGAATGCTTTCCACTTTTGAAAAGTGAAAACAAGCAACTTTATTTAGGCAGAAAATATTTTCGATTTTTGAAAGGTGGAAAACTCTTTTGGACTAAGGTCTTATCAGAAAAAATTTCCAGAAAATTTCATAACTTCTAAAACATTACAATTGAAATTTTCTGGAAATTTTTTAATTGCAATTCAAACTTCAATGCATTTGATTTTAGTAAATGTTTCAGAAAATAATGTGGCTGTCTGTCATTGCAGTGAGGGTAGACTTGTTCATATTGATTTTGGTTTTATCCTGGAAACTTCACCGGGTGGAAATATGCGTTTCGAAAGTGCGCACTTTAAGCTGAGTCATGAGATGACTCAATTACTCGATCCGTCTGGGGTAATGAAAAGTGACACTTGGAACCAGTTTGTGAGGTATTGAAAAAGGTCTTCTCTCTCTAGTCATATTTTCTGTTCTTTCCAGTTTTTCTATGTCTCAAGTCTTCAATGCTTCGCTGTGTTTCATATATGTTCACAGCCTATGCGTGAAGGGTTATCTTGCTGCCCGTCGCTACATGGATGGCATTATCAACACGGTATTGATGATGATCGACAGTGGATTGCCTTGCTTCAGCAGAGGTGACCCAATTGGAAATCTTCGCAAGAGATTTCATCCAGAAATGAGTGAGCGTGAGGCTGCCAACTTCATGATCCGCACGTGCACCGACGCCTACAACAAGTGGACCACTGCTGGGTACGACTTGATACAATATTTGCAGCAGGGCATTGAAAAATGAGCAAACTTTTCCAGGTTTGTTTTCTAATTGTATATGATGATTGCTTGTAATTCTATTGTTTTATTCACTGTAGCTGCATTTTTTTATTTTATTTATAATTTTTTTTTCGTGGGGGATTACCGGTGAGAGGTGTGTAAAATCAGCAAACACGGAAATGAGCTGTTTGTGGTTGTGCAGTGGGATTGGAATTCCTTGTGAGGTGTGTAAAAAATACAGTTTGTAACTTCTAATCAAAATGAAATTCAGGTTTTGTTGCAATGGCCAGTCGACTTATTTTCTTCCCTAGCCTGTTTTCATGGTGGGCTCATGGAGGGTCTATTTTCATGATTCAAATTGTTTATTTGTGGAGCAAGTATTTATACAAAAATTGTGTCAAATCGAGACACATTTGTTTTTCAAAAAATGTGTTTAATATGATTTTGAGAATAAATTATTTATTTTTATCATGTGATTATTAATATTTAATTAATCTAATTAATTTAAATGCATGATTTACTGAACTTATTTTACAAATAAACAATTTAAATTATAAAAATAGACGAGTGATAGAGCCCCACATTGGGACACAACACAACAGTATTGCCTAATTTCAGTAGAATTTCAGAGACAAATAGGATGATATGCCAGCTCATGATTTGTTCACCAGCCTGTAGCTTTTTAAAGTGCCACTGACTCCGATGATGAGGTTGCCAACCATTGTTGTTTGTGATGTACACATAACACAACACTAGAATGAGTTGGGAAGGTACGAATGAACAAACAATAATGCAGGCCATGTTTGCATCTGACATGTTATTTATGAACTCTCTTTGACTCTCTTCATGTTTGGCTATCATATGACCTCACCTCTCATATTACATTAATCATATCATTTGATGGATCTTTCTTCTTTTCTTTTCTTTTCTTTTCTTTTCTTTTAATCTAAAAGATTAAGTGATTATTCTTATAATTATTTATTTATTTTTTTATTATGTAGAATGATGTGGTTTCTTCATTTAACATTATCATTATTCTCACAATTTTACAAATATTACTGTCACATCATTCTTATCATTAAATTTATATTACATATCATTTTCTAAAATTTATAACCTGATAGTGTAAACTACATGATTAAGTTAATGGAAGATTAAGGAGTAGTCATCTTGTTTTTTGTTCATTAATGACATCATAGAAGGTAGTATATCATTACAGTCAATATTTATTTTTTAAGGTTGAATCTAAAATTATATCTTTTGCATCTAATTATTCTTGAAGCATTCCTGTCGCTTTTTATTTTATTTTTCTAATCCAAATCTCCAACTCCGTTCGAGACCTCTAGGGCTTTTTTTTTGAAGACTTTTTGTTGCGTCCCTGTGGGAAAATGGTCGATGCTTTGGTGGAAGTCCCTTCAAAAATCCTAATAAACTTGGGCTTGGAGAGCATTTGCCTTTATTTCTTGAAAGCAATGGAATTATACATTCTAAAAAAGCACCTGGAATGTAAAATAAACTGATGTATATTATTGATTGATGTTGATGATTACAAGATTGTTATATTGATATATCTATTACAAATTACAACTTCTATAAATAGAAAAGAAAGGTGGTAGTAGGTGTAGTGTAGTGGAGGTGGTAGGTGAAGTGGGTGCTAGTGGAGTGTAGTAGGTAAGGTAAAGTGGGTGCTAGTGGAGTGTAGTAGGTAAGGTAATTTACATAATTTACATTAACATGGAAAAAAGAAAATAGAGATTAGAAAAAGATATAGAAAAAAAGAAGAATTTATTTGGGTTTTGTCAACTTGTTTTATTCTCCTTATTCATGCCGAATGTGAATGCCACAAAAGTCCCAACTAGTATTTGGTTGATCTATTTGTCATTTTCCTTTAAGCTTAGATTTTTGGACTTCAATTATTAAAATTTTAAAATATTATACACGCATCTTATCGCACAAATCTAGAATCTATCTCTCAACATGTATATTTTTCATTTTTTCTGCCTCAACACCTCTTTGAATTTTGAAATCATCATATTAATCCAAACATGAGCAAACAAAATGAGAAAACGACAATGGAGGATTTTGAGTGAGGACAGCCCATTCTCTATTGGACATATCACTCTTTTTAATGTCATGTCATGTTCGGTGGATGTGTTCCTGCGCACACATTATTACGTGGGAAAAGTTGAGACCCCTTTTTTCTTGACTTCCATTATTCTTAATGTATTGGGATTGATCAATTTTTTGTTTTTTTATTCTCCTATCACTCTTTGACATGTGTCTGTGGGGATTGTAAGGGTCAAAGAAAAAGAAGATCTCTATCATTTCTGTATTATGTGAGGTCCTTGTCGCATTGTACACAATACCACTAACAACCAAGGTCAAGTTTGGTGGCTCTTCCTTTGCCCTTGTGTGTTGTGTGTTAACACATTATATGCCAAGGGCTTCTAATGTATTTTTCCATCTCTTCTGTATTAGAGGTTGAGATTTGATTCTCGTCAGAGACAAAGTAAGATGATAGTATTTTTTTTAGTTTATATATGTATAACTTATCACTCATTACAGATTTACTTGTCTTTGCTACTTAGCACTTCCTCTTTCCTACACTCTTTAGAAGCAAGTTACATATATAAATTGTAATTCACATTCTTAAAAAAATCACTTTCTATAACAAAAAAAGAAGTCACCATTAAAGAAAAATGTTAAGAACATCAAATATGTGTATCGATATTCCCAAACTAGGAGATGATAGACCCATCAAGATTTATGTGTATTGATAAATTTGATCTTAAAATGGTATATGCATTGTTTTCTCACGTCGTGACAATGAAAGAAAACTCTATACGAATAAAAAAATTATTTAGTGTCACCTTATATATTGGCACGAGTATATGTGAACTATTCATTTGTGTGTGCTTATAAGCTGACTTATTTTTCGGATTTTGTTTATTTATTTATATTTTAGTGAATATTTTTAAACTTTGGGTCATATATGTGTATATATATTTTACTTTTTTGGTTTACTTCGTTTGGAAACTTAAGACTTTAGTTAAAAATTAAAAAATTACTATAAATTACCATATCATTTTCTCAATTTTTTTTTGCAAATTTTTTAATAAGAAATAAAAAAATTAACTAAAATAGTCAATTTCTAAATGAGGTAATCACAAAATTTTAAAAACTTCCTAAAACTAAAAATAAGACAAATTTGATTGAAAAATTATAAAAATGTTGGCATATTTTTGTTTTTAGTGAATTTATTTTTAAAAAATTCAATTTTTTATATTAAGACAATCTAATCTAGAAAAATTTAAAATTTTAAAAAATTAATAATGAAAAATACTCCAATTAAAATAAACTGAAAAAATAAATCAACTTACAAACGGTAGTTAAAGAAACCCTACATTAAACATTATCCACAATGCACCGACAGTACACTAAATCATTGTACACTAGCCTCCCCAATAATTGGAGAAAAGAATCTTTTTACTGTTTTCAGTATCTTTAGGTTCTGTTTGGGAAGAAAAAAGTCAGGTTTTTTTGGCTAAAATAACTACAAAAAACAAAATAGGTTATTTTAGCCACAAAAAATAAAACATCAAATCTAACCCATAATCATTACAATCCTCTCTTACAAAAAAAGTCAAAAAAGTCAAAAAGTCAAAAAGTCTTTCTCAAACCAGGCTAAAATAGTCAAAAAAACTAAAAAGTCAAAAAGCCAACCCAGTTCTCAAACGGAGGCTTAGTATTGACATATCATCATAAAAACCCAAAACCAAACCTCAAGAAATCTACCAACATTAGACTAGGAAAAGTAAAGAAAACATTTTCTTTCTTCATTTTTCAATATATACAATCATTATTATTACTATTTTTTCCTTCCCCATCACTTTTTCTTTCTTAATTTTTCCTTCCCCACCACATATGGCTTATCATCTCTTCCTTATCTCCTCTCACATCACCCACATTTTCTATCCTCCCTTTCCTTCTCATTGGATTCTCACATTTTCTTTCTTTCAAACCAAACAAGCAATACCCAAAGAGGTGGCACACATATAAAGGAGTTTCAAAATGCATTTTTTAAATTTCTTTTTACATTAATTGCATTTGCATTGCATGATTTATACTCTAATTATAAATCATAAAGAGAGAAATTAAAAAGTTTATATAGAAACCCATCATATCTATAAATGGCATTAAAAGCCTTCTTCAAAACACATATTAACAAAACTATCGTTGATTTAAATTTAACATTTTCTTTAGCGGTTGGCAATTCCTAACTGAATTTGACCATTGTTGTTACCATCGCCACCAATATTACTGTTCATCGTTTTATTCTTCTCTAATTCTCTCATTGTCACTCTCCACTTAAAGAATGTGCCAAACAAAGATTGCATTTCTTCAAGAGTTTTTCCTTGTGTTTCTGGGAGCAGAGTGTAAAAAAATAACCAACCCACTATTGCAACTCCCATGAAGAGAAAGAATGCCCCACCAATTGTGATTGCCTTGTAAAGAGAGAGAAAAGTCATCGATATCATTCCACTCATCACACGGTTTACAGCCACACCCATACTTGTCCCTTGCGCCCGCAACCTCAGTGGAAAAATCTCCGAACTATATACCCACGTGATGGGCCCCATTCCGATCGAAAAAGTCGCAACGTACGATAAAACTGACAAGAACGCCAAAGTAACGGCCCAGATCAATTTCTTCTCTGAGTGATCGATGATCGACAAGGACACACCTAGAGTCGCGAGTGAGACGATCATACCAGCAACGCTACTCAAAAGCAAGGGTCTACGCCCGACCCGATCCAACAAAAAAGTCGCGACTAGGATGAACATAGTCTTCACAAATCCAACGGCTACCGTAGCGAGTAGCTTCAAAGATTTCCTAGTTATACCTGCTTTCTCGAATATCTTCGGACTATACAAAACGACGGCGTCTATGCCCGAAGTTTGTTGAAAAAAGTGAATTCCCACGCCGGCTAGGAGAATGTGGCGCACAGTCGGCGTGGGGTGGAGAATCAGGTCGCGCCAGACGCCTTCGCCGTGGCTTCGCTTGGGGACAGGAACGACGTCGTCGTTGCACTCTTCGGGGATTCCGGCGGCTTCCTTGATGTCGGCGAGCCGGAGCTGAGCCTCGGCTTTGGAGTCGGAAGTCTTGTCGAGAACTCGCTTGGCGTCGCCGAGCCGACCTTGGAGAACGAGCCAGCGAGGTGACTCGGGCATGGCGAGTACACCAACGGCGAGGAATACGGATGGAATGGCGCCGATTCCGAGCATGAATCGCCACCCTAAGTGAGTTGGGAGCTTTGAAAATGCGTAGTTTGATACGTATCCAAGTAAGATACCTGCAATAAGAAACCTTTTTTCAGAAGAAAAATAATAATAAAAAAATTACACTTGTTTCATTGACTTATTTTTAACCTTATTTTAATATATATATATACAAAAAGCTTTTAGATTTTACTCAATAAACGCCTTTTTAAAAAGCAAGTTAAAAGTCGATGATTTTTAATCCATTTTAAATTAATAATCTTTCATATTTTTTATACGTATTTTTAAAAAAAATTAAAAAATTAATTTTTAACCACTTTTTCAAAACACCGAAAATGAATTGAAAAATTAAAAAAAAAATTTAAAAAAATTATTTTAATAATATTTTTTACGAAAGACATAAAAGTAGACTGAAGAATTAATTTTTTTTTAAAAAACTTTTTACCTAAAATGAGGTGTTGTCAAAATAGACCAAAGCCCAAAAAAGATAAAAATAAATCACAAATATTTGATTTTTATTTTTTATTTTTTGAATTGTTTTTTTAAAAAAAATTACTTTTTAGATTTATCTTTAGACCAATTGGAAAAATAAAATTTTTGATATAATTATTAAAAAAAATACTAAAAATTTAAATTCAAAATAGGACAAATTACATATACCTCCCTCGAGGTTTAGCTAAATAACAGATATCCCTGAGGTTTATATTTTCATAACAATTTGTCCCATAATTTATTATGCAAATATAATCTTTAGAGAGATATCTGTAATTTCTCAAACTTCAAGAGATATCTGTAATTTTATTAAATCTCGAGAGAGTATATGTAATTTGCCCTTTAAAATATATATACTTATTTAAAAGTTCTCAAGCCGACCGAGACACAATTTTACCAAACATTAAGGCTTGTTTTTGTAAATTAATTGTGCATTGTAAAAGATGTTAATGATGCATAAAATGTTTCATTTTCATGTTTGTTTGACATTCGTTTTTATTTGTCAGTAGTTATTGCCTTCATTTGTCAGTAGTTATGATGTGAGTTAGTTGTTTAATTTTTTAATTTTGGATTAAAAAGTGTGACTTAGAATAGATTTTATAAAATAAAAAATAAAATAATTATGAATTGAATGTGACATTTTATTTTATTTAAATAAAATAATTAATTTTATTTTATATAACTATTTTAACATAAAGTAGTATCCCAAACCTAGTCATTGGCTTTACAAACCTTACAAGTGGTATGAACGGATTAATAGGTGATTATCTAGTGCTCTCGGAGTATAGGCATGTAATGTTCTATAAGGTTTTGATTGGTAAAGAAGCGTAAAAATTCATAATTTATGTTAGGATAAAAGAATAACATAAGACTAATTAATTAATTATTAATTTAAAATATAACCACGTAATATTCTAAGAGTATTGAATTATTTCCCCGAATTAATTAGTGTGTCAAATTAGTACCCTAAAGACATGCCTCTTTCGCAAGACCAGCATGGGGACACAGATAAGATTCATACATTTAGAGGTGAGAAATGACACTTTATATTTTAAATTTAATTTTACTTTATCTTTGACTTTTTAATTATCTCATTTAATTCCGTAGAGTTTGAATTAATTTACAATTGGATTCAGTCATATAACATCGTTTAGAAATTTATGGGTTAAACCAGACCATATATAACATCGAAAAAGATTAATAGAGGGACTAAACTATTATTAATTCAACAGTAATTTTAGGTATTATGAAAATTTTTTTATTAAAATAATTATGAAAGGTTTGTGATCCTTGAATTATACTTAAAATAAAATATTACACATTAATCAAGATAATCTAAAAATTATAAATTTTTCTTAATAATTTTCATTCTCTTAATTCAATAAGATTTCCTTTAAGATGTTTATTGTCATTGTTTTAAAAATCTTGAGCAGCTAGTGATAACATGGGAAAGGTAGGACGAAAAATATACCGGCGTTGATGAAGACTTCGGGGAAGGAGGTGAGGAAACCGCGGGAGGCGGCGGGGGAGACCTCGGCGGTGTAGACGGGGGCGATCATGAGGGCGTAGCCGACGCCAATTCCGGCGACGAATCGGCCGACCATCAGAAAGGCATAGTTGGTGGCAAAACCCATCAGAAGTGCTCCCACAAAGAAGATCACGGCGGCCAGTACGATGGTGTAGCGGCGCCCAATCCAGTCCGAGGTTCTTCCGGCGGCGGCCGACCCCAGGAGGGAGTAGACGTTGAGGATTCCCATCAGGACTTCCAGCTGGACGTCGGAGATTTTAAGGTCATCTTTGATGAACAGACCTGCTCCACTCATAACTCCTATGTCTGCTTGCAAAATCATCATCAATTGTAACTTCTTCTTTTTTTTCTTTTTCTCGAGAAAAACAAAAAAATCCAAGAAAATTTTCCCTAATCATCAAAGTCATCAAAAAGTGCAAAAAAAAAAAAAAAAAAAAATGAAATAGAAAAGTAGGAAGGAAGAGCATGGAAAACTAGTGACATAGATTACACATCTCGAACGTATTGAATTGTTGGTTATTTATAAGAACACAAGACTATATTACTACTATTAATATATATTTCGATGTAATTATTTAAAATGATAGTATAGATACATTTATATATGAAAAGAAAGAAGCAAAATTTTAGAGGGTGTTTAAGTGATGAACATACCATAACCGAGTAAGATGGAAGTCATGGAAGCTAAGGTGGCACACGCCAAAGCAAACATGTTTCGTTTCGGTTTTGGCGAAGGATCGAAATCTGGAATGGGTTTTTGGGGTTCGCCGGAAAACCCATTATTCTCAAGCTTCCGGTCTGCCATCCTTTGGAGAGAGGGAGAGAGAGAGAGAGGTGTATATGAAATGAAGGTGTGTGTTGATGATGGAGGGTTCTGAGAGAGATAAAAATGGGATGAGCTTTGTTGGTGTGGTGTGCTGTGGTGGTGTGGTTATGGGGTGAGTTAGCTGTGCAGAGTACTTAAATGGACTGATGAGGCTTCTCTCATCATGTTGATTATTGTGGACTATAAGGTCAATTAGTGTAGTCCAATTGAAATCAAAAAATATTTTTTTTAAAAAAAATCTTAAAAAAAAAAAAAAGGGTTTATTTTGATTGATTTCAAACTACAATGGTGTATTTTGTAAATTTTTCTTTTTAATTTATGGATTTGAAATATTCATACTATGAATTATAGTTGTACTAATATAATACTTATACTCTTAGGCTTTCTATGCAAAGTAGGGGTGGGCGCAGGTCGGTTGCGGCCACGGAACTTTCAATCCACCATCCGTCCGTCAGATTGGCGGATTGAAAAAAAATCAATTCGCATCCGTCCACCAATCCGGCGGATGTGGATTGAGCGGTTTGGCGGATGAATGCGAATCAGTTTGGCGGTTAAAAATTTTATAAATTTTCAACATAATTCAACTTGTGTACTTCCTCAAAAAAATAAGAAGAAAGTATTACAGTCAATTACTTAAAAAAATATTATAATCATTGCATGCCTCATCCAAAGTAAGAAAGTTTGAAACTTTAGAATATCACATTCACTGCATGCCTCATCCACATAAAGTAATACAATCTGTGGTTCTTAAAATATAAAAATAATTCAACCACCAAAACTATAAACAGAGCAATAATAGAGATTGTATGTCTCTGTATTGTTATATCTATATCTATTTTTGAAAACAAAAACCAACTAGCATATATCATATTTTCTATTTATTATTTTTAGAGATAGATTTAAAAACAAAAAAAATATAGATAAATAATACGTTTCTTTTTTTCAATTCACAAAAGATATTCAAGTTGAAAACTTTTTTTCAACAGAATATTTAAACTCTTTTTTAATTGAAAACATAAACAAAATATTTAAACAAACTGAAAACACAAAGTCTTATAAATTACTAGGGGTGTTTGTGGTTTGATAGTTCGGTTGTGGCCAAAGGAATTTTAAATCCGCCATCCGTCTGCCAAATTGGCGGATTGGAGAAAATCAATTCGCAACCGTCCGCTCGTCATCACACATCCGTCCAAAATGCGGCGGATCGGTTCGGTTCGATCGGTTTTGACGGATCGGTATATTCGCTGCTCACCTGTAGCGACCCTAATTTTCTTTAGTCATTATTTATTATTATTATGGTTATTATTATCTTATTTTGTTTTTGAATTTATTAATTGTGTGGTCACATGAGAGTTAATGTGATATTTAATGGATTTAATGTTGTAATTATTAATTGGGTGGTTACATGAGATTTAATGTGATATTTAATGGATTTAATGATGTAATTACTAATTGGGTGGTTACATAAGGTTTAATGTGATATTTAAGGCATTTAATGTTGTAATTAATAAATTTACTGCATATTATAATTTATTAAGCTATTATATATTGAGATTTAGGTTTATAGTATAATATTATTAGGTTAAACTAGCTCTTAGGTTATTATATATATAATAACATAGAAGTATTCAATTAGGTTTAGGAGATCAAAAGGAAAAGAGAGAGACCAAGTTGTGAGAGAGAGAAATCAAAGAAGACAAAGAAAGGGGCAGCAGCAAGGAAAGAAGAGGAGAGGGAAGAAAAGGAAATATTAGAGTTTTGTTTTGGTGACTCTAATAGTTTCTAAATATTGTTTGATCTTCAATAAAGTATTGTGAGTACAAAACCCACTTTCCTTTATTTATGTTTAATTCGTTGTTTGTATTTATTTATTTTTATTTATCTGATATTAGTTTGATTTTGTATTTACATAAAGATGATATATTGATTTTAATTATTCTGATTAGTGGTGTATGCCTGGCGCTGCCCTTGGCTCAATCTCCCGGCAATGAGCTATAGTATGTTCCGGCAGACCGGGATCCAGTTGGTTGGTCTGACTCACTGGGTATTCTACTTTCCGTTCCGGGTCCAACGCCAGTTTGGTCATGATTAGACTTGCCCGCCAGAGGGGATAGAGTATCTGACTGTCTTCCCAGTTCGAGGTGCACAGCTTGCCCGATATGCCACAGCATGAAGGATATCCCCGTGCAAATAATTTGAGAGTCCGAGGTGAGTCAAACTCGGGACGATATCCCCGTGCAAGTTTGGCTTCGGAGCGGTGTTAGGTATACGGGAGGCACATGGGATATATGTGTAGGCCGGAAGGGGAGGGCCGAAGTGTTGGAGTTAAGGTATAAAGAATTTAATTATGAGATGATTGTTATAGTGTGTATTGTATTGATTTGTATAGGTTGAAAAATAGTAAACGACCTCGATAAATTATGAAATTTGAGAAAAGACATGTATACGTGATTCTAGACAACTTTTGTGTTTTAACTGTTTATTAAAAAGATCGATTAGAAGTTAAAATCGGATGATTTTGATTATTGTAGTTTTGATTCATTTTGGCAATGCAGATTTTAGAGGTTGTTTTAACCCACGAAATGAGATCATTTTTATTGGTTTCACGTAACATGAAGTAAAACATTATTCTGCACACGTTTCGTGTTTTGAACTTTTCCGGAAAAAAAAAAAATCATCTTAGGACACTTTTTGTTCGTTTTCAGCTTCAGATTTTCGATTGAATTCCGTCTAGATTTTTCTATCAAGGTTTTCTCTCAACCTGTTTAGTTTCTGTTAAATTCGTTCGCGCTGTCTTTTAGGAAATTTGATTATGTCCAACTTTCATTTTTTAAGTTTTGATTAATTCTAATTATTTAAGTATGAAACGATGCATTTATATCTTTTTTCAACAAGTTACTTATTATTAAATTATACTAACCTTATTTGTTTTGCAGGATGGTGGGTTTTACTAACTTTTCATGAAGGGCTGACCCACCATATTTTTATTTCTATTTTGTCTATTTTATAATCAATTTATATTTCGTGGTGTACGGACAAGAAACTAAATGCCACCGTATCTCGGGAAACTACCCATTCGTCTCAGTGCGGTTGGAACTACTTGTCTTGTCCTGTGATATGAATTAAATGTATTTTTGTCTGTGTCTGGTGGACACGTGGGTGTCAAATATTGTACTCATACCAGTATACCTGTATACTGACCCATTTTGTCTCTTGGCAACTCGGGTGCGTTCTGTTTGAGCGGTGGGTGTTAAATATTGTACTCATACCAGTATATTTGTATACTGACCCGTTTTGTCTCTTGGCAACTCGGGTCCGTTCTGTTTGAGCGCAGCTGAGCTTCCTTTGCAGGATTAGTTGGGGCTACGGTGGTGACGTGGATTTACGATAGTGTTGGACCTGTCGTTTGGATTTCTTTTGTTTTATTGAGCTTAGGATTAATATTAGTCTATGTATTTATTATTCTCTTTATGACTTTAGTATTGAAATAATTTAGAATGGTTTGTAACCGTACTTTATTTAAGTTGTTTTGACTAGTTGTTGGCACTTAATGTTGAGGTATTTGTTAGTAATGAGATTATGGTGGATGGTTTAGTTGGAATTTTAGTTTTTTTGTTTCACCCTTAGGATTTGGATGATGGAATATTGATTGGGGTTTAGTCCTAATTTAATATTTAATTGTCCAAATTTGGGGCGTGACAGTTTGGTATTAGAGCTCTAGGTTACCCTAGACTTGTGATAGTTTAGGTGATCCTTGGATTGTGGAAACTTGGGTTAGCTAGTTTATTTTGGTGGTTGAGTTTATTCTAAGCAGTTATGAATGAATTCTTTTTGGTGTGTTTAACTTAAAGGTGATGGCTGGAAGGTACCTTTAATCTTTTTCGAGAACCCATTAGAGTACTTTTTGATACTGGTGCCTCTCATTCTTTCATATCTAGGCAGTTTGTAGAAAGAGAACGTATTGTAACTAATTCATAGTTTAGACCTATTCGTGTTGAGACCCTTTTAGGAGGGGCAGTTACTCTTTATCAGATGTGTAAAGATTTTGAGATTGACTTTGCGGGCAAAGTCTTGTATGCAGACCTAATTATGTTAGGGTTTGAGGGGTTTGTAATTATTTTGTGTATGGCTTGGCTACGAAAACACGTTGTGACTCTAGATTGTGCTGGAAGGACTGTAAATATAGATATTCCTGGTATGCCACGGCTTATCCACGCTTCTAGCGATAGAGAAGAGTCGGTGATGATGAGTTTTCTGTGCTCGGTAGAAATTCCTAAGCAGGATATTAGTGAGGTAGATGTGGTGCGTGAGTTTGAAGATGTATTTCAGGAGATACCTGGACCTCCTCCTCGACGGGTAGTAGAATTTCGCATTGATCTAGTGCCAGGAACTGCACCAATTTCTAAGGCGGCATGTAGAATAGCGCCTAAAGAGCTTGTGGAGATGAAGAAGCAGCTGGAAGAGATGCTTTAGAAAGGGTTCATTCGTTCAAGTAACTCCCCGTGGGGAGCACCTGCGATCTTTGTCTCCAAGAAAGATGGCACTCTCCGTATGCGCATAGATTACAGAGAGCTGAACAAGGTGACTATTAAGAACAAGTATCCACTACCTAGAATTGATGATTTGTTTGATCAGTTGAAGGGGGTAGCCATTTTCTCTCAGTTTGATCTCAGAACGGGTTACCATAAGATGGGTGTGTCAGAGGAAAGTATACCGCTTACTGATTTTCGGGTCCGGTATGGGTTGTTCGAATTTCCTGTAATGCCTTTTGGTTTGACCAATGCTCCTGCCTATTTCATGGACTTGATGAACAGAATTTTTCAACCGTATCTAGATAAGTTTGTGATTATCTTTATAGATGATATCCTGGTGTATTCTAAGAATGAGGAGAAACACAGAGAACACTTGAAAGTCGTGTTGCAAACTTTGAGGGAGCAACAGTTATACGCTAAGTTCAGTAAGTGTCACTTTTGGAAGAAAGAAGTTTGATTTTTGGAGCATGTTGTATCCAATCAGAGGATAGCGGTAGATCCTGAAAAAGTGGTTGTGGTCAAAGAATGGAAGTAGCCCACGAACCCTATAGAAGTGAGAAGTTTTTTTAGGACTAGCCGGTTATTATAGAAGATTTAT